GTAATGCAGAAGCGTTCCTTGAACAACGGAAAATATTAAGCCTCTTGCTTGATGCACCTTGCTAAGCGTAATTCTAAAGACAACTTCCTAAACGAAACTGTGTCCTTTTTCATTATTACAGGCTGGCCTAACCACACAAGATTCTCCAGACCGTCTCCTCATTGCCCTAGAACCGGAAGCAGCCTCGATCTATTGTCGGAAGTTACGTTTGCGGGACTGTGCATGGGCAGAGGAGACAAAACGGCGTTCTACTGTATCTTCACAAATTGATGCATTGGTCGGAGATGAATTTCAAGGTACTTTTTTAAACAAAGAACAAATGACCACCCACCCACTCAGTGAGGAGCGCTTGAAATAACGTTGTTAAGAGGATAAAACCTGACCTTTTTTTCTTTTTCCCTTTCCCCTTTTTTATTTTCCACTTTATCCTTTTTGTTCGGTCCCTACTTTGTTTCGCTTACCTCCATCAGACACCATCTTTCAACCTATAACGGGTCAACAGAAAATAATTTACTCTCTTTTGAAAACATCAACCCGGAACCTCTTTCCCAAGGTTTTTACCCTTAGAAAGTGAGAGTCCCATGGCAGACCCGTTCTTTTTCTGGCACCGCGGAGATCATAAACTTTTCCATTTTCGAGATAAGCTTATGCCGTTATTCACTTCTTTGTAGAGCGTCGTTTTTGACCGAGAAGTTGTCATAAAAAAGTATATATTTTGTGGTAAAAAGAAATAACAATAAGACAGAAAACTTCCATGTATTTAAGTTTTATTTTTGTAGGTACGTTGCACGTCAAATTTCTCTAAAAAGTGTCAGCAGTAAGGAACGCGGACACTCGCGGTGAACATGCCGGCAGTATGGCGAGCACGTTAAGCGTGTACACAGCCATATTCCTGGAAAATGGAAGCCCTGGATAGCTGTTTCTCTGAGCTATAACTTGCCGATGAGTCTTAACAAGGAAGAAACAGCTAGCTGCCAGTGGTTGCTACTTCCCTGGTAATATGGCTGTGCACGTTTATAAGGTACCAGTTATAGAGCGGGAACCACGTGGTTGGTGTTCGAGTGTGTCCCTTGCTGCCTTTCAGATTCCATTTTCTTATTTATTTGACGTTTCACTGAGGTAAACAGTCGTGATAAAGAAACAAAAAGGTGAACTGTTACAAAAACGTTTGATCGTCTAGGCACGGTAATGGTTTGTACGTGTACTTTGCTCACGCATTCTATTTTCCTCCAGGGAACACGCGTTATTTGGTTGTCGATTGTGGCGGCGGCACTGTGGACCTTACGGTGCATGAATTAGACGTACAGACGGGCACCTTGCAAGAGCTCCACAGGGGCACTGGAGGGGCTTGTGGAGCCACTGGCGTCGATGAAAAGTTTGAACTTCTTCTAAAGAAAATTTTTGGCAAAGACTTTATTGAACAGTTCAAAAATAAGCGGCCTGCAGGATGGGTCGATCTTATGATAGCTTTTGAGGCAAAGAAGAGAACTGCAAGCCCAAACAAGACAAACCCACTAAATATCTCAATACCTTACTCCTTCATTGACTATCACAAGAAACATAAAAGCTCCAGTATTGACTCGGTTGTGAAGAAGTTTGGAAATCCAAACGTGAAATGGTCTTCGCAGGGAATGTTGCGAATTGCTCCGGAGACCATGAAAGAACTTTTTGATCCTGTTCTGACTGAAATTGTTCAGCATATCAACAACCTTATTAGCAAAGAGAATGTCCAACGACTAAATTTTCTTTTCCTCGTTGGAGGATTTGCTGAGTCCCCGTTGCTTCAAACAACCATTCGCGAAGCCTTTGACTCGAAAATGAGGGTAATTATTCCGCAAGAAGTCGGGCTGACAATTTTACGAGGTGCTGTGCTCTTCGGGCTCGATCCTACAGTCGTGCAAGTTCGTCGAGCGGTAATGACCTACGGAGTGGGAGTTCTCAATCGATTCGTCGACGGAAAACACCCGAGAAACAAGCTCGTGAAAAAATCGGGAGTGGAATGGTGCACTGATGTTTTTGATAAATTTGTGACTTCTGACCAGCCAATAAAGCTTGGTGAGATTGTTACCAGACGATACGCGCCTGCTAGATCAGGGAAAACTTCAACAACCATCACGATTTATTCCACCCAACGTGAGAATGTTACTTTCGTTACGGACCAAGGAGTGAAGAAATGCGGTCAGCTATTATTGGAAATGCCTGAAGTAGACGATTACGATTTCAGCAAACCAAGAGAATTGAAGGCGTGTATGATTTTTGGTGGCACCGAGATTAAGGTTACAGCAGTGGACATTTTGTCCGGTAAAGAAGCAAAAGCAAGCATTAATTTCCTGTCCGTATAAAACTCTAAAAGAACCTTGAACTTCGTTTTCTCCGCTTTGTTATTTATTATGTTTTTTTAAAAAAGACCATCATGGTCACTAGATATCGATTGCTCAGGCCCGATTTCCAGCCCTGGGGGAGGGTGGGGGTACTACGGGGATGCTCCGCCCGAAAGGGGTACCTTTTCCACGGCCTCAGCATTTCATTAGTTGAAGTATGTAAAGGGGTAGCCTAAAAGGGCTAATAGTATACAACTACCCCCTATCGAAGGGGAGGTGAATAATGGTGTGGATATACCGAGACGCGAAGCTTCGAGGTATACACCTCGCGCTGTTCACCGACCCTGAGGGGGATAGTTGTTCTATTATTTACCAAACGAGTTGCATAAAGAATAAAAAAAGTAACTTTTTGTAAATTAAAAACGTCACTTACTAGAAACTTTGTTTACAATTTAGAAACATTTCAGGGTTTTTCAAGTGCATTTTAGAAATTTTGTTGCAAATTCAGCATGAAAATAATTTTCTACCTACCAGTGAACTCTTACAAGCCAAAGTTCGTCGCTTTTTTGGTATTTGTTCGTACGACTGTTTCATTTATCGCACAAATTGCGTCTTCCGAAAATGTCTCGAAACTTGACGCCATCTTGGCCCGGGCGCAAAACAGTGAATGGCCAAGGACATTCCGAGTTACGGGAGCCAATCAAAACGCGCGAAAATTGCTATTCACTGATTTGGTATTGGGGAGCTAATAAAATACAGTAAAGCATCGTTATATTAGGAATTAAGAATAAACGGAATTTACTCTAGCAATCGTTTGTTTAGTTATTCTTTGCACTGTAGCTTCTGCGCGAACCCATGCAAGGTTCCTGATAGCTGCATACCATGAATTAACAATTATTGGACGAGGTTGAGCAAAATATTGTGATTTGTCTGTGGCAAGCAGATCAATTATTTGCCGAAGCCGAAGACTGAGGCAAATAATTGATCTGCGAGACATTGACAAATCACGATATTTTGCGATAATCGAGTTCAATAATTGGTTTATCATTCGATCACCTAGTTTGTTTTTTTAATGAATATCCTCGGGAAGCGAAGCGATCTGCCATTTTCACGCAAGAGTGATCGGAAGAAGGAGAACAGCACGGTTTCCTTTGCGCGTGTGCAGAATATTATTTGCAGCCAAACACAGTTGGATGGCATTGCGCATGAGCAGACCATTATTTTTAGGCAATTATTTGCAGGTCACGTGATGGGCTCTCGGCCAATGAAAAGAAAGGAAAAATTTGCTTCGAATGGTAATCAGCAATATTCAACTGAAAATACAGTTCAACCTCTCTTCAATGGCCACCTTAGAGACAGAAGAAAGAGACCATTGTGGAGAGGTGACCGTTAGTGGAGGTTTGACTGTACCATGGCGGTGGCTCACAAATCCTGATAGAAGGGATGTGTAATTACAGTCGAACCTCCATGTGCGACCACCTCCCAAAAACGACCACTTATCCAAAACACCAAGTTTCCAAGTCAAATCAGGGGCACCGAACGACGGTTTTCTCCCCCGGCCTAAATATATTATTCTATGCAAGACTGTTATATAGTCTCTGTGAACGAGGTTGAGTTTTTTTAATAGTAGCCTGTAAGTATACTCCCTCCCCATTTTAAGAGGATGCTCAAGCCATTGGCTAACTATAAAAATCCTAATTCTATTTGCTTAGGTTAATAACTTTAAAAACAACAACACAAAGAAACAAAGTCATATCATACATATTCACCTTTTTAATTTGGGGAAATAGAAAGTGAACCATGATTTCAGTGATGATTTTAAATAACTTCACTAACTAAAAAGTCCACTTTTTCCTCAGGAATAGGACAGAAGAAAATTTACATCAGTTCATTTTTTGCTCCCTTTTCTCATGCTTTTACAGAGTTTTTATCTCCCCAGACACACGAAAGCTTAAATTACCACCAGGGTTCTTAAAAAGGCTTAAAAATGGGAGGCAACAACCTTCGGGTCCAAGCCCTTACGCACTGATAGATATGGTAACCTTTCCATGACCTTTTCTTTGAAAATGGTACCCTTTTAATGCTCTATGGTTCATAATAACAGCCTTGTCTGTTATTTTCCATTACAAATCCTAGATACCACCAGTAATTGAAATGCCTGATGTTTGCAGTGACCCTATTATACAGACATGAGTAAAGGAAGGCCAAATTTGGATAGCACTTTATTTTGGTTGTTAATTTAATTATCTGTTCTTCACAGTCTCTTTTTTAAATACAGTGTACTTATTTTTAGACGCCTACTCTCAACACCCCACTAACTAGTAAAAGTTGGTAGACGAATGATACATGTTGTGTCTTATCTTTGAATTACACTGTCATTAGCTTAAAGACAAACTTAACAGCTGTATTGTAGCAGCAAGTGTATTTGGTATCGTCAGTTGTGGTAATAGCCCCATTGCCCTCTGTGAATGGACTCTGTAGCTGACATGCTGGCATGTTTCTCCAAGAAATCCAGTATGTTGAGCTGTAAGTACATGCATGCAGAGTTGGTCTGTGTTTCATGATCTAAATTTTAACTCAAATCTTCTTGATCAGCAGGCATAACTTCTTGCCAAAGCTAGACTCCACAGCCAAATAAAAGAACTAAGCCAGCATTGATAGATTTGTGACAATACATTATCAATCAAAGTCAGGAATATCTTCGAATGAATATCCTCTGTAACCCTTCCAGGCATAATATGCTATTCTGACATGATAAAATCCTGGGATGAACATTAGAGAACCAAGGATCAACATTGGGTATGTGCGATCAGCATACTGTAAATACGAGAAAATACCAGTAAAATAAAGTTACTATAAAGGCTTGTGAATTTTAAAAGTTCTTTTAGAGAGAAATTGGGAGTAAATGAAGTATCAATAAATGTATTGCAAAATGTAAGACAGTCAGATGAAAAACTCAGTAACAGTAACTTTTGGAAAGGCAAAGAAAAATTAGCCTGATTCACTTTTAAACCACAAACACAATCTACATGCCTAAATAGCCACTCTAAAAATGGTGGCAAGTTTAAGATTTTTCATCTATATTCAAATCAGGCCTCACAAACCTCACTCCAGATATTATCTGAATAATTTTTGTTCTTAAGAAATTATGAGGTCAGCTAAGGTGATTATAAGTGATAAATATTACAATGAACAAGTTCTGCCAAAGAAGATTCTTTCAAATAGTAACACCATGGGATTTCGTCTACAAATTTACTAGTTGGAGCGACAAGCTCTAAACTTATAAAATCCAAGGTGTTTAGCATACAAGCTGCATGCAAAATCAAAGATTTCGTTGTTGCCCTGAGGCAAAGGCTGCAAGGGCCACTGAGTACTGTTTGAGCCCAGCCTGGTATTTAGACAAGCAGATCCAGGAATTTTTTATAATTGAAGGGGTCCAAGCATGTCCTCACTCTTCAGACTTTTTTACAGCCTATTACAAGCCAGTGTACATGCAACCCTTCGATTTAAGTACAGTCATTTAAATTCAATAAACATTTCCAGTCTAAAGGGTGTATTTATGGGATCCAGACCCCCCGGACCCTCCCCCTGGATCTGCCAGTGGTATTTACAGTGTACCTACCTTGACATCAATATAGCCTGTAAACAGTAAAGATCCAACCACAAGTAAAACAGTTCCCACAGAGAATAAAAATATTGCCAACAGTACAGCCTTCCATGGTACCTTGGGAGGTGGTTTGACAAACTGAAAGAAAGGAGTTATATTAAGCTTCGGAATAAAAAATTACTGGTGCTTTAAAAGTATTTTATATTATTTTCTTAACATAATATCAAAGGGAAGAATGACACATTCCATACTTTATCTGTGTTTGCTTGTGGAAGAAGCTGAGTGTCCACATTGCTTTTGCAGACCAGGGTTCATGAGTTTGAGTTCATTGAGATATATTGTCAGAGTTGCCTTTTCTTCTTACCCCTGAAGATATATTAAAATTGTATTTTCCCCTAAAGACTTCCATAAAACATGGGTCTACCCACTGAAGAACATGGGTCTACCCCTCAAGAATATGGGTCTATTGCTGAAAAATATGGGTCTGTCCCTCAAGAATATGGGTCTACCCATGAAAAATTTCACGAAAATTAAAGATCTACCCCTGAAGACTACCATAGTTTTTTTACTCTACACCTGAAGAAATCCTCAATTTTCATAATATACTCCTGAAGAATTTCATTGTTCGTCAAACAAGGGGTACGGATGTTAAATGCCATAGACCATACTGTATGTTGTAGGCAAAAATTTATTCTTAGGTTCAACCAGTAGTGAACCTACAGCTGTAGCAATTTCCTTTGTTTCCTAGACATGAGTATTCATAGGAGACATAGGAAATTCTGGTTTAATCTGAAGAGGGAATTAACTACAACTGATCCTCTTCCGATAACGACCGGGGTTCAAACGAGTGAAAACGTACTAACCTGAGCATCAATGTAACCATCATCGTTAGAAATCTTCTTGTACTTGACTTTACTTCTTATCATTGTTGTAGGCATTTTAAAAATTGAACGCTGTGATCGTTTTTGATTTTAATTTACAAAAGAGAAATTCGTTCAATTGTCATTGAGCGAACCATGATTAATGTAACCTCGCCTGCACAGTTGACCTAACCCTATACAAAAAGAAGAGCCTGGGTATTAGAGAATTGAGATGGAGAGAGAACTGTAGAAACAAACTGTTTCCGAGAAATTTTCCGACTAAGAGGTGTTTATAAGTAGTACTATTGCCTTAAATAAATTTTTACAAATGTAAATTGCCAAGTTGTAATCATTTCTCTTTCCACCCGAATACGTGGTCAATTTGTCTGTTGTGACCAGTTGCCATGGTTTTTTATAAACTGATAAGTTACGTGATCTCCATATTTGGAGGCGGTGGAGCCCGCGGTAGAAGATGTTGTGATTCAGGAAATTGAGAATGTCTTCTTGCGCCACAAAGTTTCAGATTTTTCTTGGTAATAATTTATTTCAGAAGCTTTGATCACTTGTCGATTGATCTAAAAATTTGGAGCAATGGACGGAGAATGTCTGTCTGTCACAGTCGTGGAAAAAGTCACGAAGATTGATACACTTGGAGGCTATGTATTCTTGGTCTTTCTTTTTTGTCTTATCCTGGGATTTATTCTTGGTGTACTTCTGGCACGCTGGATACGGCTGGAATTGGATGTACTTTGTTTCTTAGAATTAGAGTGTAAGAAATACGTTATGAATTATGTAAATATGCTTTACATACATTTGTACATGTAGCAGCTGAGCTAGTGATTAAGCTTAATACAATCGATGTGGAGTTTTTCAAGAAGCTTTCGAAAATTTTACTTGAATTTTCCTGTGGATGAAAAACTCGAGCAAAAAACCCAAAGCCATGATAATAGACTCAAAGTGTTGAAGAACAAATTCCTTCTAGGCTTGCTGTATTAGTCTCAGCTGGGACTAATGGTACTCAGTGACTCTTTTGCCCTTCCAAAGAGGTATCCCACATTAATAGACACCCCTGAGTGATTTTATTTTGTCTCCACGACGGTATCAGAAATATTTCAATTTTGGTACGAGTTTTTTGTCCAGACATAACTGTCGAGTCCCTGCAGCAAGCTGTCCATGATGGCTGGCAGGTGTCTATGCTGTGTGTGACAGGATTTGTTTTCAGGTTCATTTTTTAACATCGGTTTATTCTCAATTTCCCCTCTCTCCTAGGGCTAGGAGACAAAGGAAATTGAGAATCAACTTAGGTTAAATTACCAAAATTAACCTGAAATCAAATTTAACCTTTAACATCTACAAGGCACCTCTTGAAGTTGCTAAGGCTGGCAGAACCAACTTTCAATCATTCTTCTAAAAGAAAACAACAACAATCTTTTAGCTACATATGTAAGCTGTAATAATTTGTGCAGTAGGCACACTATTTGGGGACATAATTTTGCAACAAGATATTGTGAACAATATTAATGCGCAAAATTCAAATTACCAGTATGTGCCCTAAGTGTGCATAAAAAGCTACTTTATAAATGAATATTTTTTATGTACCTGTAGCTTTAATTTTGTTAATGTTATTTTGTAAATTGATATCGTCAGGGCTGTTTTTAAGGTCAGGAGGCTGAGGATTTCCCCTGGCTACTAAAAAACCCATGCGTTAATTTGTAGGCATATTCCCTGCTGTTGTAGTCCATGTTACGGGTCAAATTTGATCTCAGTTTAATTTTGATGTAACCTAGGTTGCTTCTCAATTTCCTTTTGTCTTCTAGCCCTAGTAGACAAAGGAAATCAAGAATTGACCTACTGTAGGTTAGAAATTTTTAACCTGAGAACAAATTTGACCTGAAACATCTACATGCATCTCTCATGGAGGAAGGTACTGTTACAAATCCCCAGAAGTTGGCGCCATGCGCTGTTGTGTTGACCCTACCAACTTGGTGAACCTAAGTAAACAGACAAATAAAAAAAAAAATTCACACCTGGCCATTCTGATAGGAAAACAGAAGCTGTGTTATTGCCTGCTTACTTGATGTATTTACCCGGCAACTCTCAATCTCAGCGATGGTCCTGATCATGTTTACTTACAGTACAGCTGTACATTTGAAATAAATATGTCTCATTCTTCAGGAGGAGTACTCTCAAAAAAGAAGCAAATCCCAGTCTGTAGCAATTTTATTGGAGACAGAAGATGAAGTGCGGGTGCAAGAAATGGCGACAAAGGTATTAAGTTTAACTATATAGTTATCTACTGAGATGTTATTATAATGGTTCTGTGTACCGGTATAATACAAATTCCTTGAATGTTGCCTGTGTTCAGGCTACCATGAATGCTTTTAGCGGCAAAAGTGTACAGTTGTTTTAAAAATTGAGGAAACTCCAGATCTTAAAATATGATACTGCCCTTGCCATGCAAATGGCTAGACCTTCATGTGGCTTAGATGAACATAAGTTTGGAAATTATGGAGGCCCCATCTCCAGTACGTTATCAGTACTTAAGTGCTAAATCCATTGACACTGTAATAAAGAAGGGTTTATAGTTTGTGTAAGTGAAAACACTATATAGCATCATGTTACTTTTAATATAATAATTATTATGAATCACTAACTCTGTAACCAGTGGTTTCTTAAACATGTAATAAAATATACGACATGTCTTTGATTTGATTAGTATTGTTGTTGTGAATCACTTAGAATACTCTGTAACCAGTGGTCTCTAATACATACATGTATATATAATTTTTTACTTTCTTTGATTTCACTTTTTTTTCAATCATACATATTCACCTTTTTAATTTGGGGAAATAGAAAGTGAACCATGATTTCAGTGATGATTTTAAATAACTTCACTAACTAAAAAGTCCACTTTTTCCTCAGGAATAGGACAGAAGAAAATTTACATCAGTTCATTTTTTGCTCCCTTTTCTCATGCTTTTACAGAGTTTTTATCTCCCCAGACACACGAAAGCTTAAATTACCACCAGGGTTCTTAAAAAGGCTTAAAAATGGGAGGCAACAACCTTCGGGTCCAAGCCCTTACGCACTGATAGATATGGTAACCTTTCCATGACCTTTTCTTTGAAAATGGTACCCTTTTAATGCTCTATGGTTCATAATAACAGCCTTGTCTGTTATTTTCCATTACAAATCCTAGATACCACCAGTAATTGAAATGCCTGATGTTTGCAGTGACCCTATTATACAGACATGAGTAAAGGAAGGCCAAATTTGGATAGCACTTTATTTTGGTTGTTAATTTAATTATCTGTTCTTCACAGTCTCTTTTTTAAATACAGTGTACTTATTTTTAGACGCCTACTCTCAACACCCCACTAACTAGTAAAAGTTGGTAGACGAATGATACATGTTGTGTCTTATCTTTGAATTACACTGTCATTAGCTTAAAGACAAACTTAACAGCTGTATTGTAGCAGCAAGTGTATTTGGTATCGTCAGTTGTGGTAATAGCCCCATTGCCCTCTGTGAATGGACTCTGTAGCTGACATGCTGGCATGTTTCTCCAAGAAATCCAGTATGTTGAGCTGTAAGTACATGCATGCAGAGTTGGTCTGTGTTTCATGATCTAAATTTTAACTCAAATCTTCTTGATCAGCAGGCATAACTTCTTGCCAAAGCTAGACTCCACAGCCAAATAAAAGAACTAAGCCAGCATTGATAGATTTGTGACAATACATTATCAATCAAAGTCAGGAATATCTTCGAATGAATATCCTCTGTAACCCTTCCAGGCATAATATGCTATTCTGACATGATAAAATCCTGGGATGAACATTAGAGAACCAAGGATCAACATTGGGTATGTGCGATCAGCATACTGTAAATACGAGAAAATACCAGTAAAACAAAGTTACTATAAAGGCTTGTGAATTTTAAAAGTTCTTTTTGAGAGAAATTGGGAGTAAATGAAGTACCAATAAATGTATTGCAAAATGTACAAGACAGTCAGATGAAAAACTCAGTAACAGTAACTTTTGCAAAGGCAAAGAAAAATTAGCCTGATTCACTTTTAAACCACAAACACAACCTACATGCCTAAATAGCCACTCTAAAAATGGTGGCAAGTTTAAGATTTTTCATCCATATTCAAATCAGGTTTCACAAACCTCACTCCAGATATTGTCTGAATAATTTTTGTTCTTAAGAAATTATGAGGTCAGCGAAGGTGATTATAATCAATAAATATTACAATGAACAAGTTCTGCCAAAGAAGATTCTTTCAAATAGTAACACCATGGGATTTCGTCTACAAATTTACTAGTTAGAGTGACAAGCTCTAAACTTATAAAATCCAAGGTGTTTAGCATACAAGTTGCATGCAAAATCAAAGATTTCGTTGTTGCCCCTAGGCAAAGTTGGCTGCAAGGGCCACTGAGTACTGTTTGAGCCCAGCCTGGTATTAAGAGAAGCAGATCCAGGAATTTTTTATAATTGAAGGGGTCCAAGCATGTCCTCACTCTTCAGACTTTTTTACAGCCTATTACAAGCCAGTATACATGCAACCCTTTGACTTAAGTACAGTCATTTAAATTCAATAAACATTTCCAGTCTGAAGGGTGTATTTATGGGATCCAGACCCCCTGGACCCTCCCCCTGGATCTGCCTGTGGTATTTACAGTGTACCTACCTTGACGTCAATATAGCCTGTAAACAGTAAAGACCCAACCACAAGTAAAACAGTTCCCACAGAGAATAAAAATATTGCCAACAGTACAGCCTTCCATGGTACCTTGGGAGGTGGTTTGACAAACTGAAAGAAAGGAGTTATATTAAACTTTGGAATAAAAAATTACTGGTGCTTTAAAAGTATTTTATATTATTTTCTTAACATAATATCAAAGGGAAGAATGACATATTCCATAGTTTATCTGTGTTTGCTTGTGGAAGAAGCTGAGAGTCCACATTGCTTTTGCAGACCAGGGTTCATGAGTTTGAGTTCATTGAGATACATTGTCAGAGTTGCCTTTTCTTCTTACCCCTGAAGATATAATAAAATTGTATTTACCCCTGAAGACTTCCATAAAACATGGGTCTACCCACTGAAGAATACGGGTCTACCCACTGAAGAATATGGGTCTACCCCTCAAGAATATGGGTCTATTGCTGAAAAATATGGGTCTACCCCTCAAGAATATGGGTCTACCCATGAAAAATTTCACGAAAATTAAAGATCTACCCCTGATCTACCCCCTACCATAGATTTTTTACTCTACACCTGAAGAAATCCTCAATTTTCATAATATACTCCTGAAGAATTTCATTGGTCGTCAAACAAGGGGTACGGATGTTAAATGCCATATAGACCATACTGTATGTTGTAGGAAAAATTTATTCTTAGGTTCAACCAGTAGTGAACCTACAGCTGTAGCAATTTCCTTTGTTTCCTAGACATGAGTATTCATAGGAGACATAGGAAATTCTGGTTTAATCTGAAGAGGGAATTAACTACAACTGATCCTCTTCTGATAACACCCGGGGTTCAAACGAGTGAAAACGTACTAACCTGAGCATCAATGTAACCATCATCGTTAGAAATCTTCTTGTACTTGACTTTACTTCTTATCATTGTTGTAGGCATTTTAAAAATTGAACGCTGTGATCGTTTTTGATTTTAATTTACAAAAGAGAAATTCGTTCAATTGTCATTGAGTGAACCATGATTAATGTAACCTCGCCTGCACAGTTGACCTAACCCTATACAAAAAGAAGAGCCTGGGTATGAGAGAATTGAGATGGAGAGAGAACTGTAGAAACAAACTGTTTCCGAGAAATTTTCCGACTAAGAGGTGTTTATAAGTTGTACTATTGCCTTAAATAAATTTTTACAAATGTAAATTGCCAAGTTGTAAGATGAGCATAAGTTTGGAAATTATGGAGGCCCCATCTCCAGTACGTTACCAGTACTTAAGTGCTAAATCCATTGTCTTTCCACGCGAATACGTGGTCAATTTGTCTGTTGTTACCAGTTGCCATGGTTTTTTATAAACTGATAAGTTACGTGATCTCCATATTTGGTGGCGGTGGAGCCCGCGGTAGAAGATGTTGTGATTCAGGAAATTGAGAATGTCGTCTTGCGCCACAAAGTTTCAGATTTTTCTTGGTAATAATTTATTTCAGAAGCTTTGATCACTTGTCGATTGATCTAAAAATTTGGAGCAATGGACGGAGAATGTCTGTCTGTCACAGTCGTGGAAAAAGTCACGAAAATTGATACACTTGGAGGCTATGTATTCTTGGTCTTTCTTTTTTGTCTTATCGTGGGATTTATTCTTGGGCTACTTTTGGCACGCTGCATTCTGCGGGAATTGGAGGTACTTTGTTTCTTAGAATTAGAGTGTAAGAAATACATTATGAATTATGTAAACGTGCTTCACATACATTTGTACATATATAAACAGCTGAGCTAGTGATTAAGATAAGCATATGCATGTGGAGTGTTTCAAGAAGCGTTCGAATATTTCCCATGAATTTTCCTGTGGATTTGGGTAATGGAGAAAAACTCAAGTAAAAAAAAAACAAAGCCATAATAGTAGACTCAAAGTGATGAAGAACAACGTCCTTCTAGGCTTGCTGTATTAGTCTCAGCTGGGACTAATGGTGCTCAGTGACTCTTTTGCCCTTCCAAAGAGGTATGCCACGTTAATAGACACCCCTGAGTGATTTTATTTTGTCTCCACGACGGTGTCAGAAATATTTAAATTTTGGTACGAGTTTTTTGTCCAGACATAACTGTCGAGTGCCTGCAGCAAGTAGCCCATGATGGCTGGCTGGTGTCTATGTGACAGCTTAAAATTAAATTTTATGTTAAAAATTTTAACTTTGGTTGATTTTCAATTTCCTGTCTCCTAGGTGAAAACATTTTAACCTGAATTTGATTTTGACCTGAAACATCCATGTTACAAAAAAGGGTGTTTATGTTACGGGTGAAATTTTATTTCAGGTTCAATTTTTAACATCGGTTTATTGTCAATTTCCTCTCTCTCCTAGGGCTAGGAGACAAAGGAAATTGAGAATCAACTTAGGTTAAATTGCCAAAATTAACCTGAAATCAAATTTAACCTTTAACGTCTTCAAGGCACCTCTTAAAGTTGCTAAGGCTGGCACAAACAACTTTGAATCATTTTTCTAGACGAAAACAACAACAATCTTTAAGCTACAAATATGTAAGCTGTACTAATTTGTACGGTAGCTGCACCATTTTGGGACATAATTTTAACAACAAGATATTGTGAGCAATATTAATGCGCAAAATTTAAATTACCAGTATGTGCCCTAAGTGTGCATAAAAAACTACTTTATAAAGGAATATTTTTTATATATACCTGTAGCTCTTGTTAATGTTATTTTGTAAATTGATATCATCAGGGCTGTCATTAAGGTAAATAAATAAATAATAAATAAATAAATAAAATTCACACCGGGCTATTCTGATAGGAAAACAGAAGCTGTGTTGTTGCCCGCTTACTTGATGTATTTACCCAGCAACTCTCAATCTTAGTGATGGTCCTGATCATGTTTACTTACAGTACAGCTGTATATATTTTGAAATAAATATGTCTCATTCTTTAGGAGGAGTACTCTCAAAAGAGAAGCAAATCACAGTCTGTAGCAATTTTATTAGAGACAGAAAATGAAGTGCAGGTGCAAGAAATGTCAACAAAGGTATTAAGTTTAACTATATAGTTATTTACTGAGATGTTATTATAATGGTTCTGTGTACCGGTATAATACAAATTCCTTGAATGTTGTCTGTGTTCAGGCTACCATGAACGCTTTTAGCAGCAAAAGTGTACAGTTGTTTTAAAAATTGAGGAAACTCCAGATCTTAAAATATGATACTGCCCTTGCCATGTGCAAATGGCTAGACCTTCATGTGGCTTAGATGAGCATAAGTTTGGAAATTATGGAGGCCCCATCTCCAGTATGTTACCGGTACTTAAGTGCTAAATCCATTGACACTGTAATAAAGAAGGGTTTATAGTGTGTGTAAGTGAAAACACTATATAGCATCATGTTACTTTTAATATAATAATTATTATGAATCACTAACTCTGTAACCAGTGGTTTCTTAAACATGTAATAAAATATACGACGTGTCTTTGATTTGATTAGTATTGTTGTTGTGAATCACTTAGAATACTCTGTAACCAGTGGTCTCTAATACATACATGTATATATAATTTTTTACTTTCTTTGATTTCACTTTTTTTTCAAAAATATACGACATGTCTTTGATTTGATTAGTATTGTTGTTGTGAATCACTTAGAATACTCTGTAACCAGTGGTCTCTAATACATACATGTATATATAATTTTTTACTTTCTTTGATTTCACTTTTTTTTCAAATCAGAAAATGGGCAGTAACAGAATTGCCCCCATGCCGGCAACACCAGCAAAGAACACAGCTGATATTGCTATAGAAATGCAGCCCACTCATCTCAGTACTGGCAGTCTACACAGTCAAGCGGCACAAACTGAACCAGATAATAATGACCAGTCCATGGTTTATGCATTAAGCAAGTCTTCAGGGTATGCTTGGATTAAAATAATAGTTATATTCTTTACAAAACAATAAAATTAACAGACAAAAATTTTACTCTGCATTCTCAGTCTACCTTTTTAGAACCCTTTCCTTGGCTTTTCTACAGTGTAACAGCTGGAACGATTATAAGTAGAACAACAGACCAAGATTGTGTTCAAATTTTAATTCTTAAATCCTATTTAAAACAGATTTTCAGTTTCTTTGCTAAAAATTTATTCAAAATAATGTATATTCAGAATGTTCTAATTAGGAGAAGTATTTAGGATAATCTTAGGTTCTGTGCATTTCTTTGGACACTCTGAGTCCCAAAAATTGCACATCACCTGGCATTAGCGGTTTGCTTGTGAATTAAAATATGAAGCACACTATTATAGAAAGTATCCTTTTTTTCTGGAAGAAGATTATCTGAGTTAAAAAATCTAATCTGACCTCAGACTCTCCTTGTAAGTGACTGTTACATTAACATGTACTAAACAGGCCTTTTAAATATTTTCATGGGCAGTTTAATATTTGCCTTGGGCGATTTCATTACAACCCCACACTGTGCCTTCTGCTGGATTAATTTTTGTCAAATCTTCTTTGTTTCTTTAAATGATTGTATGTTTCTTGATAACTTACACTGTAATTAGTTCAAAACCAGTTCAAAATTGTTAACTCAGAGGTTTTATTATTTTATACCAGCTTAATTTTTCAAATACGTCACTTTTTGTATTTTATTTAAATCTTTAATAGATTTTTAACCATTTTTTCAGAGAAGAGATGGAAGTTGTACTGCAAAATCAAGATTTCAGGTCCATTGAAATTATGGAAAACAACTTGCAGCTTCAAAAAAATGAAGTGAGTTTAATTTTCAATGTGATCGGAGACATTCTGCCTGTCTTCCCTTGGAAGGTAACGTGAAATTTCAAAATGCAGGTTTCAAGATCTTTCAATTCAAAAAACTCCCATGAGTAGTGTAGATATGTTTTGGACATTAACAGATTGTCTAACATGTTCTAGATTTTACAGCAGAAGAAGAAGTCATGTACTTTTGGCTGTGGCTCTAGGGATAGGAGGGGTGCAGACCCTTTGATCTGTTTTTAGACTAAACTGGGATCCATAGAGTTTCTCAAATGTCTCCTACTTCAGCTTGCTTTGATTTCTACTTTGATATGTTATTGAAACTGCCATGAAGCTCTCATCATCAGCTTTTACGTGGCCAGGAAATAGAAGTTGCTACATAAACATGTATTTTTAGGGGATTTCAAGAGGATGTTATTTTACATTTGTATTATTTATCACTCTGTAACATGTTTTGTTAATAATATTTTTTATCCTATATTTATTTATTACTAGACATTTTTGCAGTTGTTAAAGATGATACTGAGCTTCTTAGTGAGCAAATCCAGGATAACTGAAGGCTTTCGCAGAGATTCCCTCGCAAAATATGAGCAGGTAAGATTGTAATAATGATGATGATGATCGTGGTGGTGGTGCTGTGATGACGATGATGAATGCTTCTTTTTTTTAAAAAGTTAATTTACTGTTAAGTCAAGTCTTAAGAGTTGAAAATTACATTAATCATATTGTGAATGCATTAAATTTAGGCAATGGAGGACGTTGACAGAAATGCAAAAGAGGAAATGAAAGCTGAAGAACAGGTATGAGAAATTTAAGAAATAAAACAGTTTTGTTGTTTGTTTTTATGATCTAATATTGATATTAAAAGCCTTTTGATATTTGGCTTGCAAAAAATGATATGGTTATAGTTTATGCAGTTTAAAGAAACTTAGTAAAAAAAAGTAAATGCCTGGAAATGGCCATTAATATACTTTCATCTTCAGGAACTAAGAAGCACTATTACAGATCCACTTGAAGTAGATCAAGCAATAGAAAGCCTTCATTCAAAGTACTCTAAGAAAATGGTAAGTTAATTTCTGAACAACAGGGTTCAGTTGATCAAAGGCAGATTATGATTTTCCCGGGGTGAAATGTCAGTCTAGGTTCCTGTTTCCTTGTTTTAAAGCATTGAAGAATTTATGGAATTTGCTTTGTGAACATTTCGATCTACAGTCAACTTTCTCTTAATAATGGACACATCTCTAGGACAGACACCTCACTAAAAAGAACACCTTGAGATAGAGAGAAATGTTGATTGAACTAAACAACTAGTATGATCAGACTCGCGGTTGATTGTTATACGCTTTTTTGTATCCCATTCCTATTTTAATACACCCTTTTTTCACGTTTTTTAAATCTGAAGAGTTCTGAGAGGTTAGAACTTCAGGATAAATTGAAAACAGATCTCTTGCAAGGCACAGAACTGTCAGAAGAAGAGGTGGGTTGACAATTGTTTGTGTTGTAACAAAACATCTATCTCACACTAATGCATATAAAATACATATTTTTTGGCCTAGCTATACAAGGCTTGTATTTTATGCTGTTTGTGTTAAGGCATTGGGCATTTTTCCTTGATTATTAGAAATAACTAACGATGGACAAATTGAATACTAGTTACATGTTTTACTGTGATACTCGATCATGCCCCTACAATACTTGATACATTGTGGTCAGTCAGTCTTGCTTAATTTTTTTGATTCACAGAGCTGGACAAAAGGCCTGCTTCAGTCTATAATAATATTACATTACTTTGTTCTCTGTAAGTTATCAGGTTTTATGGAAGATACATGTATTAGGGTGCAGTTAATAAACCATTATTTGCATTTTCTTTGCTATGTTTCTTATATCTGTCTTCTAGTAGCCTGCATAGCTTGTGGTTTTGTTTGGGAGGATTTGTGCACTCACCAGAAAAAACCAACAGCTATGCAGGCGGGGGGATCAGTCATCGTGTTTGTACCTTCCTGCCGGGGAGGGAGAGGAGGGCGTGGGGGGTGGAAAGGTAGAGGGAACTCCCCCTATATCCATTTGCATTTTTATGACCCTCCATTTTCCCCTGTTTTGCGGGCTATCCTTCTTTCAATGACCCCTATACAATTAAATATGCAGATATAAGCATTTTTTGCTCTCTGTCCTCTGAAGCTGAGATTACCCTGTTTTTACAGGCAGAGCAGATTGTTGCTAAACTTATGATTAACATGGCGGCTGCTGACAAGCGTTTGGCGGAAGAACAGAATCGTCAGGCTATGGTAATAACTTTAAAATAAATACAATTTAGGAGTGTCATAATCTCATTACCACAATATAACAAAAAAAAAAATGGAACAGAAGTGGTCAAGCAGAATTACTTTTTGTGCGTGATGGTTAACCAAAACCTACGCATGTGTGATATTTCGCTGCATACAAAACCCTTGTCTCCTTTTACCTTAGAAATATTATAAAGATAATAAAGACCATAAAATACCCCGTTTCTGCTTGTAAATTACACCCGTACCCATAACACGGTTAAGGTGATGTTACACGGGATGATTCGCAACGACAAGTTTTAGCGCAGCACATCGTTGCAATGTAGGAACAATGTTGAAACTGGTCCAAACAATGAAGCAACAATGTTGCAATGCTGTGTTGTGTTAAAAATCGTTGTTGCGAATCGTCTCAATNACTTATGATTAACATGGCGGCTGCTGACAAGCGTTTGGCGGAAGAACAGAATCGTCAGGCTATGGTAATAACTTTAAAATAAATACAATTTAGGAGTGTCATAATCTCATTACCACAATATAACAAAAAAAAAAATGGAACAGAAGTGGTCAAGCAGAATTACTTTTTGTGCGTGATGGTTAACCAAAACCTACGCATGTGTGATATTTCGCTGCATACAAAACCCTTGTCTCCTTTTACCTTAGAAATATTATAAAGATAATAAAGACCATAAAATACCCCGTTTCTGCTTGTAAATTACACCCGTACCCATAACACGGTTAAGGTGATGTTACACGGGATGATTCGCAACGACAAGTTTTAGCGCAGCACATCGTTGCAATGTAGGAACAATGTTGAAACTGGTCCAAACAATGAAGCAACAATGTTGCAATGCTGTGTTGTGTTAAAAATCGTTGTTGCGAATCGTCTCAATCACCTTTAAATACGTAGCCTGTTCCAGGCGTTCAGGTAGTAGAACATGGGCTAACTGGTTTTTCTCCTCGCTTTCTACCATCTGAACTCTACGCTCTACCACTACAGGGTACGGAAAACGGAGCACTGATGATGAGAGGGTGAGGTGGGGGGGGGGAGGGGTGGGGGGTGAAAATAAATTATAAAGAAGTATTTACCTCAGGTTTGTCGGTCTAACGAGTACTGTTACTAGTTACCGACGTAAAATAAGGGCCTTTACCAGTAGTTCAGTAATGTGCATGTGCAAGGGGTTGAATCAGGCACTACGCAGGAGAAACTCCAAATTACACCCGTGTGTGAGGGTGGGACTTGTAATTACAGCCTATGTTTAATTGGATTTTGGTGTGTTTTATTAGGTGCTGCATGAAAAACTTGCACGAAGACAAGCACTTGCCCAGCAAAGGGCAGCTGACAACCAACAGGTTAGCCGAGTAGTTACCAATCATCTACGCTAAAGCAATCAAGATGCAATTAATCGATTAATCTGAGGACCAGTCGACAGAATAAGGGAGCGAAAGCAAAGATGACGGCGACGGCAACGAGAGCATAAAAAAAAGGTTTAGATTAGCAAAACAACAGCTCTGCACGTGAATCACCTTTTCTTGTGTATTTCATTGCTGTCTCTGCACGACTACGATGTGAAAGTGCCTAATTTCACGATCTTGTGGAAGACGTGAACAAAAGACGACTTTCTTTTTCTTTCCTAAACTTCAATGCAGTCGTTTAGACAACTCCAGAAAAATTTGCCAACTTTGAGCGAGTTGGAATAAGCGCGTTAAAGTTTGAGATAGAAAAAGCTGAGATAGAAAAGTCCTATCTCAGCGATCGTTGTCGCTGCGATCGCTACGATTGCTGGAAAGTGGTTTCCACACGATCGCTAAATTTTTTTTTCTCAGCGATCGCAGCGATCATATGGAAACCAGGCTTAAGGTCCCGTATAAGGCATTTTTATTAAGTTAAATACGCGCGGTCATGAACTTGGAATAACTTGAAACCCTATGTGTATAGGGTAAAATCACCTGTGTGTCTTTCAAAACTTACGTTTAAACACAAACGAACTTTCTTAAGGTTTCATTGCTAAATCGCTTTAATCGATTATTCGAAATTTGGCTTTGTTCCCCATAATATGTAACCCTTCAAGAAGAAGTTCCTACCTTTGCCAAAGAACGTCACATCAGATGAGTTTTAAAGGGAAATTGCATCTTAATTCACCGACTGAATAGTGCTTGAAATTTCTTATTGTGTAGGAGAAAGATGAATTCGAGGAACGATCCAAGCAGCCTCTAAAAAATTTAGAGGTTCTGCACAAAAAGGGAAAGCTCTTGGAAGACCAGAAGGACAGGTAAGATTTTAAACTAGTGCAAATAATAATACTGAACAGGTTAGTTAGAAGCTGTACATATTGCATTTTTTTTCCTTACCTATATTTTGCGTTCACCGTGTTCTGCTTCTGTTTGAATCAAAGGATTATGGAGGAATACGAACAAGATTTGCGTATTTTGGAGGAAAAAAATCAGAAAGGTATGTTACCATAACCTACTATAGCACAGGGGAAACTGTTTTAAGCTCAATGAGGCAAAAACAAATCTGCTTTTAAAATTCAGGTCATCAAGATTTGTAGATCGGTTCATATAGGAATGATTGTTTTCGGTTATGTCACGCTATCAATCCATGATACTGATAATTTCACATTTTCTTATCCTTTTAGAGATATTAATTATATTACCTAATGACTTCGTATGAGCTAGAAAAGCTAAAGGATGTGACCCAGTTGTAACCAACTTGAGATAGAAAAGGAGAGTTTCGCGCGATGATCAGCATTGTGGTCAGATGATATACTTTAAATTCATATCATCAGTTTTTTTAGCTATAAAATTCTCTTCTAGCTATTCTAAAAAGTCAGCGAGATCTCACTGAGAAGCTAAAGAGAAAGCGGCAGCAACGAATGAGAAAACTAGAAATGGAACAGGCAGCCGAAAGAGAAGAATTCGAAAGAAAGGTCAGTAAAATCACAGTATTGTCTCAAACCGTTCCCCATGTTCCATGTGATGTTTTTCTCCTCAATTCGACGATCAATCTCGATAAAATCGAACGGAAAAATAGGGGACTATGAATTGCTGAAGTAATCAACAAATGTCCTTTGATAGAATTTATTTGAACAAACTTGGTGGAGAAAGAGGAAGTTAAGCGAAGCATAATAGTAAGAAGACTGTGTCTGATTAGCTTTTCGTAAAGCGCAAAGCATTTTCTACCGCCATCGTGGGGGTAGTTTGGATCTTGAGTCGGTCAAAGCGGCAGAGTAGAGGGCTTTGTCTTAAGCTAAAAAAGTGAGATTCATACAATACTTTTATCAAATTCCAACGTATGTGAAAAACAAAAGCGTTAAGAAACAACAGACTGCAGCACAATACAAGCTTCGGGGTATGGCCAGCACTTACGCATGCGCCCCACCACATCACTAGGGCAGTGAGATCCATGGTCAGCTTTCTCGCCCTTTTTACGGCTTACCCGTCAGATCCCTGTACGGAATAACACGCGTTCAGAAGCTCTTCATTACCGAGGCCAGTGCAAAGCAGACTTTATTTAGAGCCATCTCCACCCAGCACTGGAAACCTCTTAACAGTTCTCGACGTGCGTATGGAGCCGGGATCAGCGTTGCAAATGCAAACGCAAATGCTGATGTCATCCTCAGCTACAACACCGAGTGTACAGTTGAATACGTTTTTGCTCTTTTTTTTTTCTAAGGCTGGCCAGTTGGTCAATGAAGGTAACATGACAGTCGAGGACTTCCTAGAGTCTAACCATCAACTAAGAGTTCAACAACAAACTACGAGAGAGGAAGAGGAAGACCGAACTGATGACATGGAAGCGGAGGAGCTTAACAACCTTAGACAGGTATTATATTGAAAGATGTTTTTCAGTCCGTGACACAGGCGGCTCAAGAATAGTGCTCCCAACAGGAATCGAACCTCTGTCCATCTGGTTACTAGTTCAGACAGTCCACCACTAAGCTACAGTTACTAAGCTTTCTCTAACTTATTACAAACAAGTGACATGAAAGTGCTACTGGTAGACAACTTTTGGAGGAAAATTTAAAATCCTCTTAGGAATTTTTCCTTCAGATTATTTCCCGATTTTCGCTGTTTATGTTTAAAGTTCAATATGGTAACAATATTACTAGCAATCTGTTCAGTTGATGGCAGTCACAATTCATTTAACAAGTTTTTTCTCGTTGTTTTTGTCGATTTAGAAACTGGAAGAGACTAAGCAGAAAAAATTGCAAGAAAGGGAAGAAGCTTTGTTTGAACAGATCAGAAAAGAGGCGCATTTATCATCCAAAGAAGCGGAGAAGTTGATGAACAAGCATTTAGAAGATCTTAAAGAGTCCAATGGTTTGTTGAGTTCTTCAGTATAGTTATTTTTTTACCTACCGTTGCGCTAATAGTTGTTTTTCTCACATGTACATATATGCTTTTCTATACACGTGTTTCTCGCACGCACGTTCCTCGCGTGCACACCAACTCCAGTACGCTCCTCACATCTTGTCTTCACCATGCATTTCTTGATCACGTGTACATGTGTCTGTTGTTTGCTTCCTGTACCCTTTTTCCTGGTCAATTGCTGTTATTTTTAACGCTTTTTTTTTGCTTGGTTACATTCACACGGTAGCGGACGAATTCAGTTCTGCACTGAGTATTTTACCCTGCATTCAAAATGCACCAGATTGCATCTCAACGCATATTCATTTAAAAAAATTTCCGGGGGCGCATGCCCCCGGACCCCCCTAGGAAGCTTTTCACCTTCGGTCACTCGGGACTAGATAGAACCCTGATTTTCCAATGCGCTTTTCGTCTTTCCTGGTGGTCGACAACAAAACAGCGTCTAACAAGGTATGTTTATGACCTTTTAAGACAGGAAAAACCGTGAGCGAGAGCGTCAGAGAGCCACAATTCAAGAAAGATTAGCAGAAAGAAAGCGGACTACCCTTTCTCTTTACCTCGTTGTTGTTCGTCTTGTTTCAGTCTATCACCGTCTTGTTCTCTTTCGTTATTTTGTTCACGAGTTGTGAGTTCGCCCTGACCGACTTCTCATGCACAGGTGGTTTAATAGATATAACATGACTATCAGTGAAAGAAAAGCTGTTAGTTGAATAAATTGAAAAAGAATAAATAAAAAAAAGTTTATATCGACGACTAGGCTGCAAAGAAATTGTACTCAGATTTGTTAACTGGGGCGTTGGTCGTTTTTAGTTGACCTTGAGACTGGGTCGTTGGTGAGTTGAACTGCACTGTGGGATTGTTTTGGGGGACGATTTGTGACCAGTTTCCCCTGAAATTTGTCCTCGTCCCCAGGGCGACTCCCTCAAAAATGGGAGGGAGTCCCTGGGGATTAGGGTGAGTAATATCCAATAAAAGAAGAGACAGCCTCCTTTTAACAGTCCCATAGTGCAATGCGACACAACAGCGAACCAGTCTCACACTTAGCCTCAAATGGCTGGTATCTCTTTGCATCAGTTGTCGGTTTGAAAAAGAAATTTAGCTCTTTATTGAAGTAATTTTTCTATTTGTTATTTAACTGACTGATAGCTAGATTAAGACATTTACGCTTTTTGCAGGTTAAGGAAGCAGGTCATGTTAGAACACGAACAGAACATGGCAGCGTTGAATAATCATCTTCAAATGACGAGACTCAGGCAACAAAAAAGGTTCGTTTAGTTCAATCTGAGTCGCGAGGAGGAGGGGGGAATTATCTCTTTCTATGAGCCTGTGGGTGGGGATATACCGGCCTAGGAGGAAAAAACTGATAAATTTCCCCGTGGGTTTACTCGGAAAAGCATTGTAACAGGCAGAATTGAACCTTACATTTAGGACTTGTTGTGAATGTGGTTACATCAGCCTTTTTTTGTAAATCAACAACTAATATCAGTTTAAAGCAAATTGTCGCACTATAATTTTTTTAATGTCAATTACCTGAGTGTTTTGGTGGAAACCGGTGTAAATCCCCACCCGTCAATCGAGATGTTCTTTAGTCAAGCTAACAAGCGCTTCAATTTTTTACCTACAGGCTGGAACAGCGGCTCGCAACCCGAAGAGCACGACTCGCTGAACTCAGGCAACAAATGGAAGTGGAGCGAGAGAATCAACCTCAGAACGATCCAGAGGCCCTGAAAGCACTCGCTAGGGTGCAGGTTAGTTGCTTATTTCCAAGTTTATATTCGTCTTGCGGTGTTTCTTAAAACTCCTTTTTCGAGTTTTCTAGTGACTATTTGTTGAGCATTCATCCTGTCAGACTTAAACGAAATATCCACAAGTTCCCCATGAAGAAGAAACGTTAAATTAGATTATAGGGGTAGAAGCGAATTAAAACATGACAGACGCGAGAAAGAAACGATTTACGATTTTTGTTTTCTGATCGACATAATAGTATACTGTTACAGTTATGTCATATGCTATAAACTATGTCATGTCAGAATATTCGTGTCACCTTTTCTAGAACATTGAGTATCAGGCAGAAGTGAAGAAAATTGAGGCTGAACATCAAGCTGCTCTAGAAGACTTCAGAAGGTGAATAGCATTCCCTTTTTATTGCCCAAAATACCATTTATCCTGGCTGGTTGTCATTTGGATTTATTTCAGCTTTGTTAGGTTGCTCAAATCTTGATCTAGCGCTGACACCGTATATTTAATTCGCCACACAAGCATGATTTTTGATAAAAACTCGTTTCCCTTCAGGGCAGGAATGACTCTAAACAGAGGCGATATCGATGGATTCAAGTGCGCGCGTGTGTTGGGGGTGGCGGGGGGCGGGGGGGCTTCAGCGCCACTGTCGACTCTGACAGCTTTAATGTACCGAGCCATGGACAACGCATCTCATATGAAAATACTTTTCCTTGTCACTAAAAAACCTCGTTGCCTGTTTTTCAGTAGCTATAATTTTGTCACATGAAATTTAAGCAAATATTCTCATCTACTCGAGCACCGAAAAATTCTGGCATAAAATTTGCTCGCGTGGACGGGGCTCAGTTCCTTTGGTTTTGGGTTTTATAAAATTACGTTCACACGCCTTATGTTTTTTAGACGCTTGGAAGCCGAGACAGATGAAGCCCTGAAAGAACAGGACGAGAAACTGGGGAAAATCCTGGGTAAACTACAGGTGAGCTGAGTTATTTTTCAATGCAATTCATGTAATGATCAGCTCCTTTTTGGAGTCAGACACCACTTTCTGTTACTTATTTTTTACCCCACATTTTACTTCAAGGTTGCAGTAGCGAGGCGAGAAGAAATTATTAAGCGACAAGATGAAGCTATTCGCTCCTTAGAGGTAACTCATTTCGAATTAAAGGCCTCCAATGGGTTATCTTCTTTTCTTCTTAAAAGACATGTATAACTGGTAAATTTGTATATTTATTTATACCACTAGCTGTTAGCAGCTTTGAAGTTTCCATTTATATTTTAGCAGAATCGTTGTAGAAAAAATTATTTTATTTCATTAGGGATTTAAAGCTTCTCTTCCAACTGTATAATAAACCGTTTTTATATGATTTCTTTTCTTTGTAGAAAAAACTCGTTGAAAACATGACAAGAGAAGGGACGCTGGCTGATGCGCAAACAGATCGCATCATAAGGCAGCATCAGAAACAAGTGGACAAGTTAAATGCGCAGATAGACGCGTAAGACTCGACTTTTCACCGTTTCTGATGTTGCTCGCTTATTAAACACCGACTTCTCATTAGAGTTCGGACATGTCATCTGCAGTTTTTAACTGAGAAGATCTTGCTGTAGATCTACGTATGGCAGCACTGGTTTTAGCCGATTAACTCTCGGTGTTCAAAACACTAATAAACCTTTCACGTCCCCGGCTAGCCTGCGAATGCAGACGTATTGCTGGTCGCCGATTCTCCATCTACGGCTTGTCTTGCAACAAAAAATTTTTTGCCTCCACTCGGAATTCCGTTGAAGAAAACAATCGTTTTTTAAGTAACTAGTTAAAACAGGGACAGTTTGTGACGCTCTTGTGTTGCATATAAAGCGGGAATTTGAAAAGTGGTGAGTGATGAGAAGGGATTAGTCTGTGACTACTGCAGACGTATTTCTGGCCGTGTATGGTGACAAATAGAAATACATCTGTATTCGAAGGCTTCTAGAAGAACATTTGTTTCCAGTCATTGCACCTTAAAGAAAACCATTGCAACCGATTTATGTTATTTTGTACCAAGTGATTTTACTGTTTTGTTTACAGCGAAAAAGAAAAGCAGATGCAAAAGATCCGAGAAAAACTAGAAGCAAAACAGTTAAAGAAAGCAAGGTTAGTTTCTTTTGTGAATAAGAGATACTTTTTTTTGACCGTCACTCAACCTCGTTCCCAGGGTTCTCTCCCATGCGGGTAGGAGAGAACCCTGGGAACGAGGTTGACCGTCACTGAGCTCTATTTTCTAATAATGCAATATTTCTTAACGTTCTATTTTAGAGCTTTAGAAGCAAAACTTTATCAAGAAAAAGAGGAACAAAAGAGCAAAGCGGCTAAGTAAGTTTTAACTCCTTTCCACTTTGTAATGTTGCTTGTTAGCGGTTGCATCCTTTCCCGCCTTTTGCATTGCAAGTGCTATAGCAAGTTTGTGCGCGATTGAAGGCGACTTTATATGTAGCCTGAGAAAACAGCCGACATTTGGCGACGCTACCACCGGTTTCTGCGCCAAATTACGTCTAAGAGACGAGCGCAGAAATTCCATACTGATGACGCGTTACCACCCAGATCTGGGTAGTGCTTCTGATTGGTCGTGCCGCCTGGCAAATTTATTTCAACCAATATTATACTTGTTCCTCTGTAGGTCAGTTGGTGTAAAACTTTCCCTGCTTTTAGCGGAACAGCGCCACAAGAGAGCATTAGAGGTAATAGGGGTTTTATATAGGTCTCAGTTTTTTCTCTGAAGGAAAGAACAATTGTACATGTTACTTATTGCTGTGGTTTGTACAATAACCTCATGTGATCGGCTAAACTGAACTTCTGGCGCCATTACTGGCCAGTTAATAAACTGAGAAAAACAACAGCAGCGCTGGGCGCGTGCTTCGTGTTTTGCCTCAAGATGTGATTGGCTCTTTAGATTGTCCCCGTTTCTTTTGAATGGTCATAAGTGTTCCAGTCAGCGTACATCCTTGGACCCCCCCCCCCCCCCCCCGAAAAAAAAGAATCGGTTAATGGGACGACTACGTCCCACTCGTTCGAAAGAACTAGTCACGCGTTTTGGATTTTAAGACTGAGTTAAGCAGCCAAAACGGCTCGTGCTTTGGTTTATCAACGGCAAAAGCTGCTGTAGGATTTAGCTTTCTTATTTCTTTGTTTGCAGTGTTACAAAATGTTCTTGCTTAAATATTGCCCTGTTTGCGTGTCGTGGCTCATTTTAGATTATTCATCGCACATTGTTCTCGATGTATTTGTTTAACAGGATATGGAGCGTGAGATGCAGATGGATTTAGCACGTCAGCACCTCGTCAATTTATCTCTTTACCTGCTCGTTGACAATTGTCTGAACGTCCAAGTTAATCAAAGGACAAGGTTACTACAGTGAGATCTTACAACGCTCTCTTAGCAGGGGTCGCTGCCCGTTTCTGCTCTCACGGCTGTATTCACAGGCTATGAATGTTGCTTTTCTTGTTGTTTAGATCTGATGACCACTTCCAATAAATTTACTTTGTGTGTGTTTCATACAGTAGCCTTCCACTTCTTTGAAACTTTTAACTTCATTGGACCCTATATGTTGACAGCTCGTCTGTTTTTTTTTTGTTCGACTTTCTACTTTGTCGTATTTTTTAAATTGTTTTCGCAACCAAACCTCTCAGGCCTTGTTACAGCTCAGCGGTGCCTCTTTTCATTTTTTTTCTGTTTTCTTTTCTCTCTACTAACACCGCCTCGGAAGCCTATTGGAGGGCAATAGAGAATGAGCTAAGCTAAGGTCATTCTCTCTTGTGGAGGGATACTCTTGATTAGGGAATGCGAGATCAGTAGAAGCGGGTATGTGACTAGATTTTCAGAAACGTCCTTCGTCTGAAAGCTCGCTCCACTCGCTAAGAGACTCGTGAGGTCGACTTGTAGCAAGTCTGGTATGTGACGTAAGATCCACTTCTCAGGCTTCTTTATTATTTCACCGAGACTTAGTGGTTCGAGCGTTTGCTGGCCAAAGTCATCGAGGGACTAAGATATCGCCATTCTTTCGATGAAAGGTCCATCTGAAATCCTGTGATAATTAATTCTTCTTTATAGGAGGAAGAGAAGAAGTTCATTGCTACCTTGGCTGAGAACAGTTCAGCTACGGAAGAAGAACTGCTTCAAACAATCAAGAGTTCGGCAGTAGGTAAGAATGGACAGGGACTGAAGTAATAAGGGAGACACTAAGGCCTCACCAGTCAGTTGTCTTTAACTATTTTAAGTAATCATTTGTCATCTTTTCCTTTCGCAGAGGTGGGAATGGATGCCAAGCTCACGAAGAGCATCGCTAAAGATGTTCGTAAAAGAGTTAGAACTGCCCGTACTCCAGTTCCAGAAGTATAACCACTATAAACCCAGCTACAAAAATGAGATTGCATGCTGAGATATATTACATCACAGACTGATAAAATATAATCAATTGATAGTTAATTGTTTCATAACGCGCTATCCGATTAGAGGGACAAGTTTATTGTCTTGTTGTGAACGGGAAAAAAAAAAAAGAAACGCGCGCTCATGCTCTGCCTTTATCAAAGATCGTCCGCTAAGAAGCTAGTGTGGCCCGTTATGTGGGTTACCTTGCCATTTATGTAAACGCTTCAAAGCGTGTTCTAAAGAAAGATTATGAAAAGTTGGCCCCAAGCTCGTTTAGCTGGGCCACCCTCTTTCCGTATGAACTGGCCTTATGGTGTAAGGTACAGCGACTATCGGTACTTTAATTACTATTTATTTTCTTAGGGTCTGTGATTTTGTATTCAGTGGACTATAACATTGTAAAAAGGCACATACAAACGCAAATTTCGCCGTACGTGTTGTGTTTTGCAGTCATTCTCATTGTAAGCGATATTCCAAAACGTCTATTTATTCTTGCTCTGGTTCGAGGATTAATACTGTATTTATTAAATCGTATCTGTTTATTTTTATTTGTGGTCTTAATAAAATAATGCAAGTAATGTCTCAGTGTCATTAAGCAGTGAAGGACATCGTGATAATCTCTTCTTCCTATACCTTCTTCTCAGATCCCTGATCACCCGTCTAAGTAGATCTTGAACGCGGAAAACATCTGAGCATGTGCTGCGAGATTAGAAATAACCAATCGCTTTAAAGGAGGAATTCTAGTGGTTCCGGATTATGGAGCTGGTAGAGCCAGTTGAGGAGGGTGGGGGTGGGGGGAGTAACGAACGCAAACGGAGGGGAACTTCCCTCCACCCCTCTTTCTAGGGGGTCGCAAATAGGGGTGGTCGAATGAAAGGAAAGAGTCGCATCAAATCGGACGTTCGAACGAGAGAAAAACCACAATCATCGCTCTTCAGTGCGCTCTCGGTGTCGCCAAAGGAGACGCGAGTGCGATGGGGGAGGGGGAAAGATAAGAGAGACTTTTCCTTTTCCTCTGCCGCTCACGGCTTCGCCGCTCTCCTGAGCGTTGGTTCGCGACTCGCTTTTTTCGCTTCGCTGCTTGCTGGCAGGATCAGAGTAGTTTTCTTGAACAAGCCCACTCGACTGACAGAAATGGATCAGCTATCAGGACCACAGGACCACAGGACCACCCGCTAGACACTCCTTCTCATGGTGTCATCATCAAGTTTTTGTAGTCAGGTGGACAACTTGCACATTCGAATAAAATCATACATGACTTGTCCAAATGTTGAGAAATGAAAGTGGTAGCATAAAATAGACCACATGGCATGGCAATTGTTTGTACTGCAAAGCGTTAGAACATACGGAGGGCCACTCGGCGGCACTCTTGAACAAGGAGACTGGTACCAATCAAACAACTAAAGAATCGAAAACATGGCGGCCTCCATGCTCAGTCAGAGTAAGTTATTATTTTGTGCTTTTCCTACTTCGAGACTTGCTCTATCTATGCTCACATTATTGTAACCTTCACTTGCATGTTTTATCGACATAGAGCACAAGTTACCTCCTGGTCAAAACCCAGATGAGTGGACGATTAGAGAAAAGTTAACATTAGCTTCTTCAGTGGTTCGAAGTGGTGATCAAAATTGGTAAAAACAAATAAGTTTAGATATCTATCTATGTTGTTTATTTTGATTTTTAAATTGCTCAACTTACTATTAGAAAGCAAATCTATCTATTCGAAACCTACTGTATTTGTTCGAGGGTTAAGGAATGCTTTCATACCTGGTTTAGTGTTTTATACGAAACTGAAATTAAACAACAAAAGGGTTAAATATTCAGGTTACAGTATGGAAGGCAAAGCCGTTGGTCGAATTTGTGTGTCGTTAAAGCAGGCTGGCCTGGTCTGCAAGGTTTGTTTTTCTTGATTCACTCTGTAGCTTCCATTACTTATCTAAAAAAGGGTTCATGCTGTACACATGCATTTAATAAAGGTAATACATGTAATGTACATTTTTCTATGGAACGCTAAGCGTTGCAAAAATGCTCAAATATACACATTATAGAGGTTTAATCATTTAATATGTGCTGCACTTTGTTACTATTGGGTTTATTAAAGCATAAGTGGGGTAAGTTTATTGCATTTGATTACTTTCAACTCAATGTTGTGTTTTTCGATGAGCCTGTGAGATAACACTTGGATTTCTATCAATATATATAAAGGCCATATCCATGATAATCAATGATTATTCAAACATGCCATCATTTCCACACGGGATAGCCTACTACGCAGGTGTTCTTAGGGGTTCTTCGCGTGTTTCTGCCCCACAAATGTCTGCTGAAACAAGTGTTTAAATTCCTTTCCCATTGTTCGCAAATATCAGCTGGAGCTCACGTGCAGATTATAGGAGAACCAATCGGTGCTGTTGAAGTCAAAATGTTGACAAGCCAAACACAATGTGCAAGCTCTGTAGCGTGTGACATGTGACCAAAGAGTTTTGCCCCTTACAAGAATGTAGAATATGGAGGTTCGCTTTTTGCATATTTGTCTCTGTAATGCTGAATTAGATGCCAGTTGCTCACAAAGGTTTTCTTTTGGTGAGGTAGCGATGGGATGGTATGTTGTAACTGAACAAAAGGCAGAATTTTGTTTTTTCGCAGTTTATTGTTTTATAGTAAAGTAAAAGTTGACTTCCACTCAGCAAATTTAACCTGTGAGATAATTTTTTTCAATGGGATTGAGGGTAGCCTCTAGTTCAAAGGCATGTGAGTAGTTTGTTCTAAAAAGTGTAAGGTCTTCACCTTTCACGAGACCTTTCGGATCTTTTTTGGAGTCTCGCATGAAATTTCTCAAGGTCCAAAGTGCACTTTCCAGATTTGTAAGTGTGCTTTGATTGGTGGACATTTTTTCTGCTCATTTTAGCAGACGCTTGTTGGGGAGGATTGCGTAATGAGCCAAAAGAATGTCTGAGGGGGAGGCTACTTGTGGGACAGCTTCATTACAATCAAACTGTCCTAATCAGGACAGGTCACAAGTAACATGTTCATTTCCTTCTAGGGTGTCTGTCAGTCGTACTATTAAACCAATACTTGAGACAGGATGTTGTGCGAAACAAAGACCACCTGACTTTTTTTCGCAGAAGGTAATGTTATTTTGTGTTTTGTGTCACAGGTATAATTTGAATCATCTTTTTCTGAAAAACCCTTTTTTATGAGTTATTTGTGTTTTATCCTGGTTTTATAGAGTGCAAGAGCACCATGTAAGTATATTCTCTGACACAAAAGTTCAATAATATCAAAAGGGTGGCTGGAATGAAGCCCCAACTCACTTCTGATAGACTTTTAGTTGTTGGTGGAAGCAAGGCTGTGATGACCTTGTTTTGAAACAACCTTTCCTTCTCTGTTTACCTGGATATTTTTTATACTATATAATTTCTCCTTATGTTTAGAAATAGAATTTAATTTAATTTTTTTATTTTAATTCTACAGAACTGTGCATCTCATTACTCTGAAATGCTTGAAAAAGTGAACACGCCAAAGTATGTGCTGATGACTGATTAAATTGGCCATATTAATCTGATAAAATACTTGTTAGATTTAAAGGTTGGAGGTTCATTGTTGTGATTTGCAATTTATCAATAACTACCTTACTTGTCAATTTGATTATTTCTCTATTAATCAACTCTCTCACCCTACAGTGCTTTTAGTTTCAGTACATTAACCTGCATATTCTCTTTCACTATTCTCCATCAAGGCTGTGCTCTAAGGAAAATTGAAGGGAGCCCAGTGCTCTGAAAATGTAAAATCTAGGGTACCCAACATATTATTTGTATGAAAAATATAAGATTTTCTAGTCGCCCAAGAGCAAAAGTTAGGCACCAGGGGCCACTGGGCTCTACTAGAGCACAGCCCTGTCCATCATACATTTCTTGTTGCAGTATTAAAAATAAAGTCATTTTGTTACGACAATTATATTTGAGAATACAAATGAAAAAATCCTTTTGTTAATTGTAGGAGAAAAAGGACTACTGAAGGAGGTGGAACAGGTAAGGAGTTGACTACTGCTATCAAGGACACTGACTTTGTGGCTTCACCAGTTAACCCAGAGTGGAATTGTCAAATAGAAAGAAAATAGAGCAAAAATAGTATTTCATGCAACTGTCTACATCACTTGAACTTTAGAAAGACCACAAACACAACGGCTTGGCACAAGTCCCTTGAACTCAGGTTGCCGAATTGACAACTTTCACTCCAATTTTGTCACCAATAATGATTTTTTCTGCTCCCCATTTTGACCAAAATGGTTGCAGCTTAGAGCACTATGTTAGCAGGGGTTCAATTGTACAGATATATTATTCATTTAGAACTACATCAGGAAGCAGCAAACCACAATGTTCATTGTTATCTCTAATTTGAAAAGCAGAATTTTCTTATACTGTATTACCAAAAATGTATTTACTTGCTCTGGGAAAGACATTTAGTATACAAATTTCAAGACTCAGAGCAAAATTTTAGACAAATGTGAACATTTTGTTTGAATTGTGTGAACTTCATTACTGATAGGAAATGACAAGTTGCTTAAAAGGATTGATGCTTTTTGATCTGGGTATATTACAAAGAGACCTGGCAGTCAAAGAACACCAATCCCGTGAAACGTGTGCTGTTTTCAAGCACTGCCGGTTAAGAGGTCACAACTTCAACGCACACAATGTAAAAGGACTATCCAAGGAAAAATAATAACAATATCAAGCACTGTGTGGGGAAGGCCATTGCTATCAAACAAAGAAAACCTTCTCTGAATAAGGACAATGGATCTCCCAGCCATTTGCAAATCCTCTCCTAGGATTATGTAACAACCTTGCTGTTACGTAACCTGTCATGTCACATCACAGATGAATTTGGAGGGATTCAAACAAAATGCTCGATTTTGTCTCAAATTTTGCTCTGTGTCTTAAAATTTGTGTACTAAACATATCTTGTATGTTGGTCTTTAAAGTCACAAGCTGAGGATTGCTTAACTACTGTAACTGGAAAGCAACTATGTATTTTTTTTAAAACTTTATTTAACATAGAAACACCAGGGGATCAAATTGTAAGAAAATTGACCTTTGAGAGAATCGAGGAATTGAAGAAATCCATTCGCAATGATCAACTAACCTACAAGTAAGATATTTAATTACATTATATTTCTTTACTTATGGTATGTTTATTTACCAGGTTTGCAAAAGAAAACTTAAATACCGTAATACAGACTAAGAGGCTTAATTTCATTTTGCATTTTATTTAAAATTTTATGGTCTATGAGATACAACCCTTTTTCTCCTAACAGGGGACAAAGTTGTGAAAGTGAAAGTAGAATGCAAAAGTTTTACCAAAGAGGTTTCATTTAAATGGTAAAACCATTTGCATGATATCATTCAGGGAGAGAAAAGTTAGCACATGCTGACAAATCATCTCCCCAAGGTTAAGTGTAAGGGAGATTTGACAGACAATAGATATGATTGTTTTGTGCAGATTATGCCATGCTCATGTGCGTATCAAACTAATCATAGTAGAATTATGTGAATTATATAAAACTGTTTAATGACAAAATTAATTTTATGTTATGTCTTCCTGTAGGAAATTGAAAGACAGAATAGAGGATATCAGAGGTGGAAAGCTTGATCATCAACTGCCAGCCTTGTGGGATGAAATTAAACTGTGAGTAATAGTCTTAGATGGCTCATATAAGTTATAGTTGAATAGAAGATCATATATCCAGAATGATTACTATAAACTTACAATAATATGCTGTTTAATTTTATTTTAATGATAAGTCAAGCATACACTGTAGATCCAATCCAGTTTCTACTGTTTACAGAAAATGGTCCTATGCGTGAGAATATATTATTACGAAATGGCCCATTGCTCTCTGGCGACACATGAAACAGTCTTCCTTTACAGTGTATAAGTATGCTCTATCATGAGTCCTACCATCGGAAGACGGTCATTCTTTTTTCTTGGACCAATAGCTGTATGTTAATTTAATATTGTAGTTACATATATACCTTCGGTTGAAATATTGAGGGAAACTCCTACAAAGTCATTTCTTAGCTTAACCAGCTTAAAGATCGTCGAATATGTAGATTCTTAAAGGGGTTATATATGAATTTAACTGGCCTTGAAAGTTTTGCCTTTTGAAATATTCAAGAAGCACACATTTTTTAAGATAATGGCCTGGGTTTGTATCCTCAAAGAAACTTGTGATAGACATCAATAATGATCTTAGTAAATTCATAGCCATTTCACAAATACAGTGGAATCCATATTTTCAAGCCTGTTAGGGAAAAGAAATGTGGTTTAACTTTTCTGGAGGTTAAAAAGTTTGTGGAGCGATCACAGTCCCCTATTTTTCCGTGAGATCCTCAAGATCGAGCACCTGTTACCATTAATGGCAGCCATCTTGATTTCAAATGTACCTTGGGAAGAGTATCAAATCTACTTAGGGGGCGGGAGACAGTTTGGGAGAAGGTTGCCCCCATTCCCCTAGAGCTATAATCCCAGACGCCCGCCTGCTCGGTACATTTGAAAATCAAGGTGGCCGCCATTAACAGTAAGATGCGCTCGATCTCTACGATCTCATGGAAAAATAGAGGGCTGTGAACAGTCTAAAAAATTGGGGGCTAGTCGCAGTGTTTGACTGATAGAGGGAATTCAGTTTGTAAAGTTCAAAAAACTAAGTGTTTACAAAACTATGGGTCTTAGATATTGGTGAGCTGTCATCATCTTTACCTTAAAATTTTATACTGTGCATAATGCTTTATTTGGATGACAACATTTCTCTCTAAACAGATTGGTTGCATGGGTGATTCGTAATTTTGTATTTTTCCGTGTAAAGATTTTTTATTGAAAGGTACATTTATGATAAGAAAGCTTGACAAAATATCTTCAGTTAGATGCAAACTTCCTGACCTGTACTCAACTGGCATTAAAAGACAGCAAATCAATGCCATCACCTGATGAAGATCCGCAATAACTGATCGAAAGATACCTGCAATAACTGAACAAGTCACCAGGGCTGTCATTAATTTTTAAAGCAGTTTTAGCAAATAAAGATTCACCCGTAACATCTCCCCAAAACCTTATAGTGCCGCCTTGAGCTTCCCCCTTTGATCGCCCACAAAATCAAGTGAGCTCAGCTGTAACAGGTGTTATGGGTTATGGCCCTTTATGACAGCTCTGGTCACTTTCCTGAGACAAATAAGAAACAACGCCCATCAACTCCCACTTGTTTCACTCTGCTTTCAGGAGGAAAAAGATGAGGCCACCACCCATACCCCATCAAGATGGGGATGGGCCTGCTCCTGTTACCCCCACCACACCCACTACTCCAATCACCCCTACTACGCATGGAGGACAATCTGTGATGCAACAAGGTAATGTTGCTGTTGCTTGTTTGTAGTAAAAGGAAGGTTTGTTACCCCAAGTAGCAAACAGCTGAAAGAAAATATTGTTCCACTCCTTTATGGTTGATTCACAAAAACCAAGTTGAGGTTATCACATAGATAAAATTTTGTACCCATGATAACTTAACTATGACTTTCTTTTCAAGAGTCTTCATGGGTAGAGAAAAACACTATTATGTGTTACATGATTTCATTCCCAACCATTCACAAATTCTACATTTTTTCCTTTGCCCAAACAGAAAGACAGCTGTTGTAAGTAGATTTAAAACTGATGATTATTTTGTAGTAAAATAAACCAAGAATATTTTGATACCTTAAGGCTACATGAATTTTGAGAAGCTGGCAAGTCAATAGGTTTATTGAATAGAACGTAAAATAATTATTATTAATGTATTATTGCTAATTTTAGGTGCACCTAAACCTCCTGGAAGCCAACAAATGACCTCTCCCCAGAAGGGAAAGCAGCTGCGAGTTCCAAAACCAACAGCAAAGTATGATAATAAATTAACAATAACATTGAAATTAGTATTGTAATAAATTATTACTAGATACAGTGAAACCTGCATGCGCAATTACCTATCCGAAATATCAAAATCACTTTATCCAGTAAGCTGTATTTTAAGTGACTCCCAAATCTTGTATTTTGGGTGGCATATCATGAGAGCTTACATGGGTTTTCATGTTAGCTTCATTGCATCTGTTGTTGGAAGAAGGCTGATTACTACGACTGTAGGGATAAGAGTGTGATGGAGTCTTGTAAGATGGTTTATTGTGACCATTCAAAGGAAACTCTTCAGAAGTAATATCTTGAATCTTGAATTTTGACTTTGGCCAACTCCAGAGTGAAAAGGTTAACGAAATAGAGGATATTACATGGCCGCGCAGAGATACAAAATTTCTCCACAAGTGAGCACAGCGAACGAGTGAAATATTTTTTCAACACAAGAAGAGAAATTTCGTATCTCCAAGTGGCCATGTAATGTTCTATTTATTATATAAACACCAATGAAATACCAAACCATTTCACTTTAATAGTTTTTTGGTGTGAAAGGCGCGATTTATTATGTAGCCATAGAAAAGGTGATATTTTCACATGTGAAGATAACATGTTATTTTCACATGTGAAGATATCAAGTTTTCGCGTGAAAGCTCACCTGGTATTTCATTGGTGTTTATATAATAAAGGGATTTTTAAAACCTTAATCTCCACATTGGCCCATTAAGGCTAATATAGGCACACTTTGTATGGGTAGAGCAGAATGTCTGACCTAAAAATCTAGATAATGATTAATTTTTTAATGCAGGTTTCAGAAATATCAACAGCAGCTCCAACAGAAACATGGCCACTCTTCTCAGTCCTCCCCCTTGAATCAGACAGCAGAGGGACTGGCCTCTACCTCTGAACTATCCCCTGGAGATGGCAGACGCTTTTCCTTGGGACATGCTGGAGTGCCAGTCGGGGGAGTAGGGCAGGCAGGAACGTTTTCAGGAGGGGCTCAGGTGAATTTATTTTTCAGCTGTGTTATTCAAGTTATTCCTTGTCCACACATGGGTACTGTTGCCAAGTGGGACTGTGGAGTCATCTGATGACTTGGTTTTTTATATGAAGTATCATACATTTTGTATCCTCTAGAAAATTGTGTGACAAAGTTTTAAGTGACAGGAACGTAGGATAGATAAATGCAATTGTTGAAAACAGGGATCTTGATTGTAGTATCCAAGAAAGTGTAGTTAAAGTAATGTTGATTAGCTTGCTTTCTATAATGTAAACAGAGCTGTGAATTAAGACAGTAAAAATTTAAGATGTGCATCTTGCTTAATGCAGTCCTGTGATCTTAAAGGGAATGTTCTGTAAAATTTTAACAAATTAAGAGTAAAACAGCCTTCAGAGCTTGACTCTTGAGTGTTGAAATGCACTTAGGACTCTCAACTCACATTTAATATTAATAACTAATTTAAACTGTAGGTTTCTAAAGGGGAACCAATGGATGTTGATGTCGGAAGCATTGTGCTGTCTGGTGCCCAACGCGACATGGCTCCTCCTCAGGTATCTCCTAGAAGGGCTGATCATGTACCTGCACGACAACAGAGCACATTACAGTCAACAGCAGCCAGTTCGCATGGCTCGGCAGAGTGCACCCTTGTATCACTGCTATCACAACCATCTGCTAAGGATGAGAAGCAGTTGAGAAGGGGCAGTTTTTCTGACCAGGAACTACAACCAACCAAGGTGATGCCATGTAATAAAGTTGAAGGGTTTGCTTGAAAAATGAATGACTAGTTTGCTATGAAATGTAAACTACTTCAAACAAGTTCTGTTGTTGCCCATGGAACCTTAGTGCTGCTATCATTGATGGAGCAGAAGGCCTAAAAATCATAGAATCATCCGTTTTTGTCTTTCCTATAACTCAAGCAACTCAAGTGAATCACTACCTATTTCTTCAGGAAAAAGGCACAAGGCTTTTAAACATCTGTCTTTGTTCTGCACTGGTTTGTTGAGTTTCAACAAAACAGAAACCTGTCCTTTTTTTTTGAAGTCATTGGTAAACAAATACAGTAAACCTCTACAAAGTGCCTACACTCAGGGAAGGGAAAAGTGGCGACTTACATGTAATAAAGGTTATCACTTCATAGACGTTCTGTATATAGTGATTTATTGACAATTCTCTTTGTGGGGACTCTGTTAACTGGCCAGTAAATAATATAAAATGACTAAGTTTCTTACTTAACAACAAGTTTATCTGCCAAAATGGAGTTGCCTTAATAGCAGATCATGGCCCCGTGGGTGTCCCTTTAAGCTGGGATTGTTTGTGATGTGGTTTTCTTTATACTGAGTTTATTCATATTTCAGGAGCCTGAACGTCGATCCTCTGTGAGTGGTCAGGGGGCTCAAGCAGCCTCTTCACCATCACAGGCAGCAGGATCACAACAAACTTCAAACTCTCAAAATTCTGACGGAAAGCATTTTTTAGGTATGTTGTTACTTTCATTATTATTATCAGTATTTAAGCACAAAAAGTAACGTCATAAACACATGACGTTTCGGTGATGACCGTGATGTCACCATTGTCAAATGCAAATGAACAGAAAGAATAAACGATTTATATAGAAAATGACGTTGTGAAACAGTTCATTAAAAAGTGAAGGAAAAACAAACTCAAAAACTTATTTAAACCTCCAAAAATCTAGAAGAGTGAGATATCTTTGCTGTAGGTAAAATCGTTTTTCAGGTTAAACCTTTACCAGAAATTTCTTTGTTGCCTATCAAATAACTAGGGCTGGAAAACAAAGGAAGTTTTGGATACCTAGTAGCTCAGTGGTTAGAGCATCCTACTAGATCACGGAGGGTAGTGGGCTCGAATCCCAACTGTGGCTCGGCTTTTTTCCGAGTTTCCATTTGATGCAAAAAACGTATCATGTTCTACTTCTACAAAAGACTCACTTGGTGGATAGTTTACCTGAGAACGGATTTTACCTACAACATCTCTAGGATGTTCTAATGTTCCTTATAAACATGCTGTCATGGTAGTTGTGTGTATTGACGTTAATGTTGGTTATTCGTTAGGGGTTACTCCCTCCATGGAGTCCACCAAAAAACTGGATTCCATGAGGGAGATACAAGGAAATATAACACAAGTCTCGGCAACCGCACCAGCGGCAGCACCATCTGTCAGCGCACCTACACTCTCTAAATTACTGGCTGCTGAAACACCTGCTGCAGCAGCTGCTTCGTTAAATGCTATCACATCTCATGGGGGAGCCATAACCAAGGTACACTCACCTCTCTCTTAAAGGGACTGTGTCACGGCTGTGTGGCTCATTTAGTTTATCATGCCAATTAGTAAATGATCGCTTAAGCGCCGTACCTTTACCCAAAATAATTTAATAAGCGTGACTCTCGAATAAACGCCGCGGCGCTAATTTGGGTATTTACGAACTAACGCCCCACCTTTGTTACGGTGCTTGATATAAAGATATATCAAAACCATATCGCTTGAGAGATAAGACCTTGACCAACTCGTGAGTTCTAAAGTTTTAATGAAGGGAAACCCTTGAAACCGGGTTCATATAATAGTTCGAGGTGTACGTATTTTACATTAAATTGCGCATACCTACTACGTGCCTCACTTACTTCTCTCTATATTCCCCTCAGTGTTTTACCCGTAGTTGAAATAAGCGCCGCTCTCGTATAAGCGCTGCGGCGCTTAATCGATCATTTACGGTACGCTCCTTTATTCTACATGGAACTTAAGAGGTTACCTGTGAATGGCAAAATTACAGCTTCGTATGTCTCCCAAGCATTATTAGCCTGAATTTCATCCGATTACTTCGAGTCGTTATTACTCCCTCAGTAACATAATTATTCATAATTATACATAATTATGCGAATGTTTAGACAATCAACCAATCAAAATCACTACCCGGTTTTCGGGTAGTGAGTGACGTCACTGGACGGCATTAACGGCCGGTCGATTCAGACGTCGTTGAGAGGAGAAAATGACTCGAAGCAATCGGATGAATTTCAGGCTAAAGCATTATTGACTTTGAAAAACTGTTTGACTAACGAGTTTTCAAAAACCCCGATTGCAATCCGTTTCAATCTTCTTTAAGTTCGTCCATCAGTGCCTCCTTTTGTATTCGCTCTGTCTGTGCGGTAATTTTTCATTTTTCACTCAGTTTGGAGGCAGTTAATTCCTACTTTTGAAATTTTTATAAATTTTGTGACACAGTTCCTTTAACGATTTACGTCCCAAGTAATAAACATCAATTTTCTCCTAATAGTATCAATGAATTACGGTCGTTTCGCTACAAAGTCGTTTCGATGGATCACAAAGACACCTTTTTGTATTTAAACCTCCGCAGCAACAATTTAGAATGAACTACAAACGGTTAGTAACGAGTTAAGTTAGCAAGACTACTTTACAACTTTGAGGCGAATCGACTTCATTATGCAGCGAAACGACTTGTAGCGAAACGACCATACTCCATATCAGTACATAACCAAGAGGAAAGGTTACAAGAATAAGAGCACCAGTGGGAAAATGCTTTGATCTTTAATTTACTTCTCTCCACTAATTCTAAAAGGAAATGTCTGAAAATGGGTCTGTAGAATCTGTATATGGATATTGGAGCATACTTGATTAACTCGCACCTCTATATGACGAATTCCCCACTAGAACAGACACCAAGAGAGGGTTTCTACCTTAATTCAAGCCTTTTCTTTGTCCCTCTATTCTATAAGACAGACATCTCCTTAGAATGGACCCTTGGTGCCAGTCACAAGGTCTTTCTTTCCAGAAAATGTCTACATGTATATATTTTAAAAAATAAATACAAATTTCCGGATGGTTCAGTTACCCAACACAAATTGTTTTCACTATAAGTTTGAAAAGAGAGCCTTTTCAGACACATTAAGAGTTCATCACGTGTTCAGGAAAACAATATCAAAGAATATTTTTTCCAGACCACAGGAAGGGTAGAGGGCAGAGTTTTGGAGTCCACAGGGAACCCAGTGGACAGCGCTGTGTCTGTTATTGGTGGAGGCAGAGGATCCGCTGAAGGTATACCCCATGATCAATTGTAAAAGGATGATTACATACGTGTGTAAAAAATTGAATTGTCTGTACTCTTATTGTGAGTTCGGTACATTTATGAGAACTTGTGACGAACTTCAAAAGTAGAAATTTGATGCAATCTGATTTTAGTTTGAGTTTTTTATGTTTGTTTGATCTGTTGAACTTCGAAGTACCAAATCTGTTAAGAATAAACGAAATCCATGGCTCTAGCTCACTGGCATTGATTTGGCATTTCAATCTTAAGTCTGAAGTCCTAAACGGTTCATATAATTTTCAATTTTTAAGCTATTGAATTCATTATATTACTTCTAAGCAACCTCAGATCAGGCTGAATTTTAGCAGTTCTCGTGATCTCTCTCTTACGTGGCCCGCTGAAGTAAGAGAAATTTATACAGCCTGACGTCAGGCTAATTTCTTTGAGATCCGTTATAATATGCCACTTAGGCACTGTTATGAGTACCCTGCGAGCAGAGGATACATTTTCGCAGGGTACGTCCAGTTCAAACGTCGAACTTTTTATGTACCCGAACTTAATAGCTTTGTGGGTCGGCCCAAATGATACAATTTCGACGGTTGATTCAGACGTCGAGCTTGATTAGTCAGACTGAATTCATTCTCACGATGAGCAATGGGCTACAATGTTTACCGGTGAAAATAAAGTACCGTAAATTATGCATTAGATTCGGTACATGAAAAGTTCCACGTTTGAAACGAAGTCGCACCGAAGTCGAATTACCATTTGGGCCAGTCTAACGTAATTCATGGGTAGACTCATATTAGATATTTGATTCAAACGTTGTCGATCTTTTCATGTATTTAATTGAAGAGATAAGGTTCGGTACCTGAAAAGTTCGACGTTTGAGGTAGTCCTACGTTATGAGCTGAGCCTAAGATAATTGTGCTTGTGTTACAATATTTTCACAGGCAGTCAAGCTGTTCTGACTGTGTCTACGTCCATGCCATCAATCTCAGTCAATCCTAAGGTAATTGCATACAGCTCTATTTTTCTGTGCCTTTTCAAGTTTGTTTTGGTGTTGTGATTTAGTTACTTTACAAATTTCATTCTCTCAACTTAGGTTGGCTTTCCTCGAGTGAACAATATTGTTGAAAATGCACTTTGTCATGCAATTGCTGTGGCTGTGCATCGCGATTGCTTGAAAAAAGATTCTTGCCACTTTCCTAACCAATCACAATTCAATTTTAAAACGAGTCCTGACTTCCTAGCGAGCATTTTCCCGCGCTTTCACGCCTCCAGCAGTGATTTGATTGAATTGGTTGAAAGGTGCTTTGGCCGGCACAAAAACTGTACATAAACCGCAAAGCTAACATCTCAAACCCTTTTGGTTATTAATTAACTCATTTTTTTGCTCATTTGCTTTCTAGGCTGCTGCTCTCACAGCAACCCTCCCCTCCCCACTGGCAATCACACCACCACCCACCACCCCTCCGGCAGACAGAAAGGTCAGTTGAACTGCAAACGTTCAAAAATCAGGAAAAATTAATCAAACCGCTTTGCTTCATGTGTTTTTTTTACGTTCTTTGCACAGGAAATGATTACCGATAAGTTTGAACCAAAAGTGAAAAATGCTGAGAAGATAAGCGGTGCTGAAATAACCAGTGTCAGTCTTGAAAACGAGGCCAACAGTGAACGGGAAAATGTCGACCAGTCAGGGACTGTCCCTGAAGTAAGAGTGGAGACCACAGACACCCCAGTCACCTCTCCACGAGTGTCTAAACGAGCATCCAAGCCTGGCAGACCTGGTAAGGAAAAAAATCAAACGCGGCGCCACTTTACAAGTAACAAATTTAACCTTTTCTCGCTTACTCGAGAAATCCTTCTACCAAGTGAGCTCTTAGAGTAAAGTTGAAATCTGATTGGTTTCTTTAGAAAATTACATTAAAGGACCTTGACTTCTCTCATTTTTTTTTGTTGCCACAGGGAGACCACCCAGAGCGGCGCGTAGAAATCAGCGAAATCGCAGCAAATCGGCGACCTCCACGGTAAGTATGGCCTTCGTCACTGCCGTAAAACTATTCATGAAAAATCTATTATAACGTTACTTGTTATAAATTTCCGTTGCAGGACAATGAAGGTGATATCGAAGAAGAACATGAAGAGGTAGGGATTAATTTAACCTGGCAGAAATCGGAGGGAATGAGTCTCTTCTCAGTTTATAGCTTGGTGGCTGGAGCTACCGACTGGGATCTGCGATGTCATGGGTTCGAATCCTTTGCTGAATCAGTATTTTTCTTCGTCTCCTATTCCTGACATTATGAGCATTGCACCGTTTACAGTTTTAGAATTTTTCTCAGCCAAACTTTTTTTTCACTTTGTCACTTAAATCGTTTCTAAGAGTGCTTCCTTTGAGAGAATCCAAGATATGATTCTTAATCTCAGAATCTCTGGATTTGTTTCGACGAAAGTAACGAAGAAGCGTGACTGTAACATAAGTGTTAACCGGCGAAAAACGTGGCCTCTGTATTTCTTAAACCGCTTGCTTGTTGTTTTCGGAGAAAAGTTTGGATTCTTTGGATTCAAAATCTATGCTTGGATCTTAGTAAAGAAATTGAAAATCATTTTCAGAATTCATTCATCCAGGTTTGGATTTTCCTAAAGAAATGCGCTCTAACTTAGGGGGTGTTTACATGAGAAAACTCGCACCGGCGAGAGTCTCATACCGAGATGACTTTTTGATTTCGTATCGCGTTTACATGATGACTGGGTCATTTCATATCTCGTTATCTGAAGCTACACTTGATGTTGATAAAATACACGTGTGATTCAAAATCACAAACATTACGCATGCATTACGCATGGGCAGACCGATATCACACCGAAACGGGTGGTCGTTTCGCGTTTACATGATACCGCTGCGAGATTTCGTACCGGAGTGAAATTCTCGCCCCGGTACAAGAACCGGGGTGAACTCACGTCGGGGTGACTCGCGCTGGCATGACATTTTGTGGTGGTATCATGTAAACAAATATAGAGCCATGAGAGGGAACCGGAGTGAACTCGCTCTGGGGCGAAAGTCGCCCCGGTGTCATGTAAACACCTTCTAAGGTGCCGCCAATATTCTTTTTTCCTCAAGGAATCTAAATTTGAGTCAGTAGAAGTGGAGTCAGAAAAAACCGAGGAAGAGGAAGACAATGAATCCATTGTTGAAGAGAAGAAAGAAGAAAGTGATGAGGAGATGGAGCGAGAGAGCGGTGAGGAGGCTGTTTCGGACTCCGGGGACAGGAATCAGTCGGAGAAGGATGAACCTGTGACCACCATGAAGGACTTCCTGATGGAAAGGTCGGGGATTGGGGGCTCCGAGTCGGTACCGGGAAGTCCTGCCTCTCAAGTATCCCAGGGGTAAGTAAATTATTGCTTGAAATACGCTTCTAAGGGCCTGTTTACATGGAGGTGGGGGACCCCAGGTAGGTGAAGGAATCCGTGGCGGGTCACCCCACCTATCATGTAATCGTGATCAAATTAAAATGAGAGATTATATGGACAGGCGGGTTACCCCATCTAAGCGGGTTACCTCACCTACCTGAGGTCCCCCACCTCCTTGTAAACAGGCCTTAAGTCACGTGGTGTTTTATGGTGTTTTTCTTTAATTATATCGAAAGAACTAGAGAAACACACGATAAGTGATGCCATCAATACTAGACCCGTGAGTGTGTGTGTTTTTTTTTAATCTTTATTTTTTGTATTGTATTAGAAGTAGCGATGAACAAGAAGCTATCCAAGCGCAGAAAACGTGGAAGAAGTCAATCATGCTGGTCTGGAGAGCTGCCGCTAATCACAAGTAAGAGCGAATATTTTATTGCCTTATCGCTTTTTTACCTGTACCTCCGATTCCTACGGAAACCCGATAGTTTACCCGGAATCCGATAGTCTGCGCAGCTGGCAGTACACTCTGTACGCGTTCCCGCATTGCTTTGAACAAAGACACCAACTCGAGGTTCGGGTGACTAAATAAATGTTAAGAAAACCCTCATAGTTGAAGACGCAGCTTGCCGTGATTGGAACCCTGACCTCTGCGATACCGGTGCAGCTCTCTAACAAATTGAGCTAGAAAACGAACTGGGAGCTTGTCATTAAATTGGTTTCTAATATATCTGGAAAATGTGAAAATAAAATAATGTATATACGAATTTCATGTGCTGCAACAGCGGAATGAAGAAATAAATGCAAAGAAAATCATGTCAGTTGTGAAAACTGAGAAAGCCCGAAAAAAAAGATGATAATAAATAAAATCAGAAACTCATAAGGGGTTATGGATTTCTGATAAAACAGAATAAAAATATATAAATAAATCCCCCCGCGCAGTCATTTGTATGAAATTGTCCACCCAAACCTCGATTTCATTTTCTTTCTCTGCTCCTTGAAGCGGAATGGGGAGGAGTGCGCACGGAAAGGTCTTATGAGTTTCTAATTTTATTTATTATCATCTTTTTTTTCGGGCTCTCTCTTAGAGAGCTGCACCGGTATCGCAGAGGTCAGGGTTCCAATCACGGCAAGCCATAAGTTGCGTCTTCAACTATGAGGATTTTCTTTCTTGCAGCTCCACCCAGAGCCAAACTGACCCTCGTGCGCACTCGCGCGCTGAATAGCAGCTTGCAGGGTTACTATTTTTACTCTCCCTAATCTTCCTCCGTCATAACAAAGATGGCGGTTACAACAGTACGAACATAAACAAGAACGCTCTTAGTGGCGTGAGTCTCGCTTGCTTGGAGATGAGTTTTGTTGTCAAGGCCCCGGCGCTGTTATACTGCTTTTTCGTTTGGAATACAAAACGAGTGTTGTATGTCATAATGCATTTACTCAAAAAGTAAAAATTGCAAGGAGAGACAGGCCGCACATCTTAGCCTCAAACCGGTGTGAAACCTTTGAAAACCTGCTACATATTGATATTGCTCCATTGAGGAGTACTCTTTCGGGATTTTACACTCGAAAAATTGAACGATGATTTTTATCGGTATCAGGGGCCGATGACTCTGTCACTATAAATATACATAGCTTCTTTGTACCGGACCAAGATACGGCTCGGTACAGTATATGTTCAGCACAGGAAAACAGTGTCCTACCTATCTATCTATCTATCTATCTATCTATCTATCTATCTATCTATCTATCTAATCTATCTATCTATCTATCTATCTGTCCGTCCGTCCGTCCGTCCGTCCGTCCGTCCGTCCGTCCGTCCGTCCGTCCGTCCGTCCGTCCGTCCGTCCGTCTGTCTGTCTGTCTATCTGTCTGACAACAGTTACAACGGTGAAAACGGTGACGACAACGGTGACAACGGCGACAACGGTGACAACGGCGACAACGGTGACAAAAGCGACAACAGTGACAACGGTGACAACAGTGACAACAGTGACAGCAGTGACAACAGTGACAACGGTGACAACAGTGACAACAGTGACAACGGTGACAACAATGACAACAGTAACAACGGTGACAACGGTGACAATGGTGACAGCATCTATCTATCTATCTATCTATCTATCTATCTGTCTGTCTGTCTGTCTATCTATCTGACAACACTTACAACGGTGACAACAGTGACAAAGGCGACAACGATGACAACGGTGACAACAGTGACAATGGTGACAACAGTCACAACGGTGACAACAGCGACAACGGTGACAACGGTGACAACGGCGACAACGGCGACAACGGCGACAACGGCGACAACAGTGACAACATCTATCTATCTGTCTGTCTGTCTGTCTATCTATCTGACAACACTTACAATGGTGACAACGGTGAAAAAAGTGACAACGGCGACAACGGTGAAAACGGTGACAACAGTGACAACGGTGACAATGGTGACAATGATGACAACAGTCACAATGGTGACAACAGTGACAACGGTGACAACAGTGACAACAGTGACAACCGTGACAACCGTGACAACGGTGACAACAGTGACAACAGTGACAACAGTGACAAGGGTGACAACACTGACAACGATGACCACGGTGACAATGGTGACAACGGTGACAACAGTGACAACGGTGACAAGACTGACAACGATGACCACGGTTACAACGGTGACGACAGTGACAACAGTGACAACGGGACATCAATGACAACAGTCATAACGGTGACAACGGTGACAACGGTGAAAACAGTGACAACTGTGACAACGGTGACAACAGTGACAACGGTGACAAAGCTGCTGAAACACCTGCTGCAGCAGCTGCTTCGTTAAATGCTATCACATCTCATGGGGGAGCCATAACCAAGGTACACTCACCTCTCTCTTAAAGGGACTGTGTCACGGCTGTGTGGCTCATTTAGTTTATGATGCCAATTAGTAAATAATCGCTTAAGCGCCGCACCTTTACCCAAAATAATTTAATAAGCGCGACTCTCGAATAAACACCGCGGCGCTAATTTGGGTATTTACAAACTAACGTCCCACCTTTGCTACGGTGCTTGATAAAAAGAGATATCAAAACCTTATCGCTTGAGAGATAAGACCTCGACCAACTCGTGAGTTCTAAAGTTTTAATGAAGGGAAACTCTTAAAATTCTTGTATTTGCGGTGTCTGTGCAGTTATTTTGCATTTTTCACTCAGTTTGGTGGCAGTTAATTCCTACTGTTTAAATTTTGATAAATTTTGTGACACAGGTCCTTGAACGATTTACGTCCCAAGAGTAATTAATATCAGTCTTCTCCTAATAATATCAACGAATTAAGGTCGTTTCGCTACAAGTCGTTTTGCTGTATTATGAAGTCGTTTCGCTGCACCATAAAGTCGATTCGCTTCAACCACTTTTTTGTTTTAAACAGTTTACAACAATTTAGAATTAACTACAAACGAGTAAAAACGAGTTAAGTTAGCAAAACGACTTTACAACTTTGCAGCGAATCGAGTTCATTATGCAGCGAAACGACCATACTCCATAAGCAGTCTCTTGATATCAGTACATAACCAAGAGAAAAGTTTAAAAGAATAAGAGCACCAGTGGGAAAATGCTTTGATCTTTAATTTAATTCTCTCCACTAATTCTTAAAGGAAATGTCTGAAAATCGGTCTGTAGAATCTGTATGTGGATATTGGAGCTTAATGGATTAACTCGCAACTCTATATGACAAACTCTTCACTAGAACAGACACCAAGAGAGGGTTCCTGCCTTAATTCAAGCCTTTTCTTTGGCTCTCTATTCTATAGGACGGATATCTCCTTAAGATGGACACGTGGTGCCACTCCCAAAGGTCTTTCTTAGAGTTGTCTTTATTTCCAGAAAATGTCTATATATTTTAAAAACTAAATATGGTTCGTTTACCCAATACAAATTGTTTTCACTAAAAGTTTGAAAAGAGAGCCTTTTTAGACACATTAAGAGTTCAACACGTGTTCAGGAAAAGAATATCAAACTGATTCATCAAAGAATATTTTTTCCAGACCACTGGAAGGGTAGAGGGCAGAGTTTTGGAGTCCACAGGGAACCCAGTGGAGAGCGCTGTGTCTGTCATTGGTGGAGGCAGAGGATCCGCTGAAGGTACACCTCATGATCAATTACATAAAGGATGATTACATACGTGTGTAAAAAATTGAATCGTCTGTATTGTTATTGTGAGTTCGGTACTTTTATGAGAACTTGTGAAGAACTTCAAAATTAGAAATTTGATGCCATCTGATTTTAGTTTGAGTTTGTTATGGTTGTTTGATCTGTTGAACTTCGAAGTATCAAATCTGTTAAGAATAAACGAAATCCATGGCTGTAGCTCACTGGCATTGATTTGGAATTTTCCTAGGTCTGAAGTCCTAAACGGTTCATATAATTTTAAATTTTTAAACTATTGAGCTCATTATAATACTTGTAAGTAACCTCAGATGAGGCTGAATTTTAGCAGTTCTCGTTCTCTCTCTTTTACGTGGCCCGCTGAAATAAAATAAATTTATACAGCTTGATGTCAGGCTAACTTCTTTGAGATCCGTACCCTGCGAGTAGAGGCTACATTTTCGCAGGGTACGCCCAGTTTAACCGTCGAACTTTTTATGTACTCAAACTTAATAGCTAGTGGGTCGGCCCAAATGATACAATTTCGACAGCTGATTCAGACGTCGAACTTAATTAGTCAGACTCAATTCATTTTCACAATGTACAATAGTCTACAATGTTTACCAGTGAAAATAAAGTACCGTAAATTATGCATTAGGTTCGGTACATGAAAAGCTCCACGATTGAAACGAAAACCTAAGTCGAAATTACCATTTGGGCCAGTCAAACGTAATTCATGGGTGCACTCACATTAGATATTTGATTCAAACGTTGTCGATCTTTTCATGTACTTAATTGAAGAGATAAGGTTCGGTACCTGAAAAGTTCGACCTTTAAGCTAGTCCTACGTTATGAGCTGAGCCTAAGATAATTGTGCGTGTGTTATATTATTTTCACAGGCAGTCAATCTGTTCTGACTGTGTCTACGTCCATGCCATCAATCTCAGTCAATCCTAAGGTAATTGCATAAAGCTCTATTTTTTCTGTGCCTTTTCAGGTTTGTTTTGGTGTTGTTATTGAGTTACCTTACAAATTTCATTCTCTCAACTTAGGTTGGCTTTCCTCGAGTGAGCAATGTTGTCGAAAATACACTTTATCATGCAACTGTTGTGGCTGTGCATCGCGATTGCCTGAAAAAAAATTCTTGCCACTTTCCTAACCAATCACAATTCAATTTTAAAACGAATCCTGACTTCCTTGCGAGCATTTTCCTGTACTTTCACGCCACCAGCAGTGATTTGATTGAATCGGTTGAAAGGTGTTTGGCCGGCACAAAAACTGTACGTAAATC